GCGCGAGACTAATTTTAGCCATTCCGAGACGTGATCCTATTTCGGAACCTACGTCTCAAAAAAAAAAAAATATATATAAATCTATGTATTTATTTTTTTTTTAAATTTTATCTTGTGACGTACGTATCCTTTCTAAAAACATGTTTTTAAGTGCAGTGACTTTAAAACGAAGAAGAGTAGAATTGACTAGCTCCGTCGCTCGCTCCCTCACGCGTACGAACGAAAAACCAGAGGAGCGGGGACGGCGGCGGTGGCAGGGATTCTTGGCCTTGGTGCTGCAGTCACCCTATGCTTCCCGTCGGCGTGTTCGTGTATCATGCAGTTCTAACGAAAAATACGAGTGCCTTAGAATAGAAATTATTTTTGTTCAGTTCCGCGACTTTTAAAAATCAACATTTTCATTTTCTTAACGCACGAAAAACATATCCGTCACCTGTGATATGCGCTTTTGCCCTGACCGTTTTGTATTTAGCCATAGAGATCAATTTTAGCCCACTGACCAGCGTCATATGGCAGGCGCATGGGAAATCCTGGAGAATCTATCCTAAAGTCCCTCTATCCTGGGAAAAGTGGCGCCATTCATTGTTGTGGAAATGCTCGAGACACGTGCTGCGCGCCCCTTCTGGGAAGAACATGGCGTCTGATATCCAGCTCTGTGCTGCGCTGTGCCGCCATGATCTTCCCACGGGCTGCACGTTGCACGTGCCTCGTGTATCGACGCATCTTGCCATAGCCTTTACTATACTGGCAAAGCCTGGCAAATCGCCACGAGACGCGGCCGCCGAAATTGAAAAGGTAGAGCGGCAGACAACGGATAAGAGGAGAGCCAGGCGACGCGCGCCCCGCTGCGGCGAGACGCCAAAACACACTTCTCCCGAGCGATGGGATGTCCGCTCGTGCTCCTCGCGTTCCTCGCGCTGCCGCTTCTTTTCTCGTCGGGTTTGAAAACCATGGTTCGGGTCCTCGCCGCTGCGAAAGCTGTGCGCTCACGACAATGTTCCCCGAGAAATGCTTTGCTCTACCAGATCCTCGCGCTCCAAATCTGCGACCGGGCACTCTATGGCTCCGTCGTCGAACTGCCAGGCTTTGTGAGAGTATAGAGGAGGCTATGACCTTGCGCTATTTTTAAAACATGAAGGGGCTTTAATATATCCCCGTCTCTTCCGCCATCCATTCTCGGCGAGAAGGTTAATTATCCCCGCGTGGTGGAATTCTTTCGCAACCCAGAGTGAGGATACTTCAACTTCCTCTGCTGGTGCAAGCACGTGCAAGGACAAGCTTCCGTGCACAATGAGAACGAAAGCATAACCACGTGGGTAGCACGTGTACTGCCCATAGTGAGCACAACAGAAGCGCCTCTGGCGAGCTTCTCACCGCCAATAGGGCGTTGGAGTTGTGCATAATATAACACTATCGGACTGGTACTCGAGTGTGACAAGTCTGACGGTGTTGACGGCAGTGGCTTCTCTCGCAGGATGCCGTAGCGCACTGCAGGCTCGGACACCACGAGTTAAAATTCTCTGCCCTTTTCGATATGAAACATATGAAGGGACGTTGAACCAATATCCCGATATAGGGCAGATCGGTATCTAGAGGTGTAAATGTTCAGTGTCCTTGTCATTTTACGGCGACAGTCATTAGCGAAGTTTCACAGCGGATCCCGGGGTGTGCTGGAGTCTAGGTCATTACCCGCTAAATTTAGCCGAAAAATTTATCCGCTTAATTTAGAGTGTCACGTGGCATCACAGTGTCACGTGACGCTACAATTTTTCCTCTAAATTTAGCGGGAGTCTAGTGTCACGTAATCACGTCACCGTGTCCTATCAGCACAGTCCCAGTGTTGGGAACGGCATTGGACTTTTTTGTGGCAGGTTTTGTAGCAGGCGAGGTATTGGTTCAGAGCAGCCACTGACGCTTTTGGAGCAGACGTCTGTTAGCGAGTCACTTGAAAATAAACTGTTTAATGAGTTCCTATCTGATAATAATCGAGGGTTCTTCATTGATAGTGGGCCATATTACGTATTACATTTTGTAGTAAGAGTAGATGGGGCACGAAAAGAACACACGGTCTCGTTTTTCTAGCTGAGGCTCCAGTCAGAGGAGGTTCCATTTACAATGGTTGTTTAGAAAATTGTTGGAAAATGAAGCATAGCGCAGTTAGGTTGTGATGAAGCTTCTCTCTCTATCCCTCTGCTACAGTCCGTAATTAATTTCGTCGGTAAATATAATTTCCGTAAAACGCCGGCAAAAACCAGCATATCCCGCTATGAACATTAAAAAACAATAAAATATACCCCCCCCCCCCCCCCTCAAGAACACTGGACTAAAAATTTTAGTTTTATAAACTGCAAAAACAACCACCCACAAATATTATAAAAATCTTCACTTGTACATTAAAAGAGACACTGCGCTTTAGTGGCGTTCGAACCAGAGTTGAATCAAAGTTTGTTGTCCTTTCGATTGACCGCCGCACGGGAACTACCTTGACTAATATATGTATCAAATTATAAACCCGCGTTTTTTTGTTTGTTTGTTTTTTATGTGAAAGAATTAATTGTTTTATGGAGCGAGCCGACGTCATCAGCTTTGAAGCCACGCCACTGGCTCCCAGCTTTGAAACCATACGAAAAGCCTAGCCAAATGGCGAAGCGGAGTGAAGCTGATGGATTTCGGCTTCGGTCCCATTGGCTGGCGCGCGTCATTGTTTCAAGGAACGAGGCTCCCAGTGGCCGCTGCGTGTCAGTTTCAACGACCGCCACCCCACGGCGCTGCGTGTCCGCGCGCCGGGAACACGAAGCGTCCAAGGTCAGCAGAGCAACGAAGAAAGCGCGCGATCTGCCGTCGACGCAAATACACCGCAGACGAAATCAGGGAGCGGAAGAATGGCACGCGCGCTTTCGCATTCACAACTCGTAAGAAATGCTTAGGTGTACCTCCAGGATTTTTTTTTTTTTTTCTTTACATTTAAAATTAAGAGGGGGACCTGTAATAGTACTGAGAGTAATTTCCGAGCCAATCTGGCTAAAGCGCGAAACACATGCACGACGAAACCGTGCGATCCGACGTTCGATCAGGCAATACGACGGTCGGAAGCGAGGGTTTTCAACGCTTTCCGGTGCTACGAAAACCCTCGCCCCCGAAGGTCATTCCGGCAGTTCGCACGTCGGATCGGACAGTTTCGTCGTACTTCGGGCGCTGCTCCTACACTCCGGTGCAAAGTGGTGAAGCTCGACGCGCGCGCTTTGGTGAGAAGTCGTGAAAATTGACGCCAGCGGCGTTTGTGCCGGGTACACTGCAGCCATGACATGGATGCATGTGTCATATATAGTTAAGGGGTATCATCGGGAGTAAAAGGCCCTGGTTTTGTCTCGTTACCGTAGCCGCCATCCCACTGCTTTGCATATCTTTCTCGTGACATCGCCGACATTGTCTGAAAATTAAGACAATGACGAAGACAGCACGGTTGACAAGCAACCTCTACACTCCGTTTCATCTACAGGCAAAGTGTGGGTGGTGTTATGAGCCATTGGGACGAATCAAACTGCGTCAAAAGCGCCACATCATGACATTCGTCGCCTATCTGCACAAGCTCTTTTGTCCTCTATAAACCATCCAAGCGCAGCGAATTCCTCTAGACTCGCACTTTTAGCCCGTGTTTGAACTTTCGACTGTGCTAAATGAAACAAACCATACGGTGATTAAAGATCCTGTGAGATACATATTTGTACCATTTTTGTAACCTTCTACTTCTCCGAATAATAGAATCAAGCAGTAATAGTGTTTGTGTTTTAGTGTGTTTAAGCATACCTCGGGGCGGGTGGGGCGCAATTTTTAGCAAAAACGGCGCCTTGGCGCAAGATGTAACAGACTTTCGTTCATGGCGCAATTAGGCGCAACACTTTCATCACTGCATGCGAGTCTGCTAGATGTGCACGCTGTAGTGTAACTTTGCAGAGTAGAGTGTGTAGCATATAAACTATCGCCAAAAATTTACTCTTTTTTTTTTTTTTTTGCAGGAGTTTTTGAACATTAAGCGTGTCTGGAGGTCCGACTTCAGGCTCGCGGGTCTGCCCCAACTCAGCTCAGAGCAGCTGTTCTTCGTGGCGTACGCGCTGGACAACTGCGAAGCCAGCGACGACCTGTTCCGAAGTCACCGTTTCCACACGACGTTTCAGCTTCCCCCGGAAGACCGCGTCAACTTTCCACTCTCCCAGCTCGAGGCGTTTGCACAGGCCTTCTCCTGCCAGCAGGAGTCGCCAATGATCGGCCGCAAACGCTGCCCTGTCTTCCTCAACGATGAACAACCCAACGCTTAAATGCTGGTTCACACACTTGTGATCTCTCGGAGCTATGCTGGACGAGAGAACAGATGGCGCCATCTATCTGATAGCCTGGAACATCTGGCATTTCCATATATTCTCTATATTTTTTTTCCCGCATCAATCTTTCTTTGCTGCCCCGAAAAACTTTTGACAATGTTATAAACAATATTTTCTCATAGATAGTACATACACCTTATCGCAAATAATGCAAAAAAAAAAAAAAAAAGAACTTTCATCACTGAATTGCGATTTCAGGGCCACCTCATAGATGGCGCCAGCGTGTTCTCTCGCCGTGAGAGATCACAATAACTCGGTCGCAAGCAAACCCAGTGCGTGAACCAGCCTAAAGAGCTGTCAACAAAAATCGCAAAGTGTCGCGCCGCCGAGAACCACAGCAACTACCCGATGGCTGACGCTGTGACGTGGCCAGATACAGAGCTGCCACGTCATAGCGTCAGCGACGGTTGCTATGACTACGTCGCTCAGCGTTGCGGTTTTTGTTCACACGCTTTTCAAGCACAACACATAAGCGACGAAAACTGGCATCGCGTGACGGTTACCATGACAACGATTGCAGACGCTGCGATTGGCCGCAAGTCATAGCCTCAGAAACCGTTGTTATGGTAACCGTCGCAGGACGCCAGTTTCTTTGTCGCTAGAAAGGGATGAGGTCAGATGTGCTCTGGTAAACGATACTTTAATATAATTTTTTTTTCAGCTTGAATTGCATCGAAACGAAACCCGATAAATAGTTATTGCGCACCGTTGCTAGCTTCGGACTGGCGAGCTATGGTAGCGAAGATGCTCTTCTGACTAGCGGCGTACTCCCTGTTGCGAAGACCGTTTCAATTTAATCGCATTTTGTATGCATTTTTTATATATAGATATATACCAGAACGGTTTTGCACAAACAAGTGCAGCCTACACGCGGTTGCCCAAGCTTCTGTGACGAATGGCAAAATAGGGAGTTATAGTAGGTCGTTCCGATAACTCCGACACTCGCCGACGTTTTTGTGCGTGCATCACACTGTTATTGGAAGTGTCTGAACGATCTGCTGAAATTCCCTAACATTATAAATTGTTTGACCCGCAAAATATTTGGCATATTGATTGCAACTGTCTCCGCAAAATCAAGGCGATGCTGAACTTTTCTTTTTTTTACAACAAACAGTACATAGTGACGAGATTACAAGGGATGCAACGTCCACTTTGATAACCTTCGCAGCGCTACAGCGTGAAGTCTAGGAGTATGTTATACTTTGAGCATGCATAAAATATGTAGCGTCGTTCCTTTAGGAATTGCGTCGGGCGTTGTTCAAACAGTATTCGGCATTCCCAATGTCACGCTCCATCACAGCTGCCGGCATTTTCTGCGGCCCTTCGTATAAACTGTCAAAAGGTGATTTTAAATAAGTGCTGCAGCAGCTCTGTCCACAATTCGCACGTCACGAAACACCTTTCGAGCGTCCTGCCCCAAATAAATAACAGTTAAACTCGCATTACACTTTGATCTCTTATGTACAGGGTCTTCTAAGCTCGCTCTTCCTTCCAGTAGTCAAGCCACAACTATGTCGCCGGTAAACTGGCAGTGGAGCGAGATACAAACGCTCCCCCGAGCGATCAAACTTTGGCCTTGCGCCACGTGACTGCAATCCCTGCGAGTGTATCGGCGGGAATCTCAGTCGTGTGGCCTGAAGCGCGAAACACTTGTGAGCGAAAATCGTGCTGCGTCACATTGCTGAGCGGTGCAACCATGGCGATCGTCGCTAACACTAATGTGGTGGCGCGGCATGCAACACGCCATAGCGTCAGCGGCGGTTGCTATGGTTATGCTGCTCGACGGTGGGACGCAAAGCAATTTTTGCTTACGTGTGTTTCGCGCCTACGGCCGACAAATGACAAGTCCAACAAACACGTGACCTTCGCCCCACTGCCAGGTTATGCGCACGATGCAATTTTACTTCCGATTCTGCAGTTGCGACGTCGCTCGTGCGACCAAACTAAGCATGGTGAAAGCTGTAGTGCTCAATGTTGCAGCTGCAAAGTCGCGAGCAAATTCACACCGTGCGAGTCGGGCATTAGGGGGAAGCAACGGGGCACGGACACTCCCTTCCCGGCCTCGCAAGACTACACGAGTAACGACGACACTCGACGGGGGAGCGTCGCGAGACAGGACGACAGACAAGAAAGAGCAGTTCAGTCCTCGGAGTTTGGGGCCACGTGGCCTCGGAGGTAGACGTCGTCGTACAGGTGACCGTAGAGCTCGTCGTCTGCCCGATGGACGGCCTGGCGCACGTTGCGGATGAACTCTCGCTTGGACATTTTGTTCTTGATGTGTGGACTGCTCAGGTCCACCGATAGCATGATGAGCGAGAAGCACAGGATGTACACCATGTCTGCACAGAGTAACCAACCAATGGACCTTTTTTAAAATTCTGTGCCATCTGATGGCTCAAAAAGCAGTCAAACTTGTACCAAAAGATCAATTGGACCACACTACAAAATAAATGCCGATTCAGCCATTGTATCTAGTTTGTGCGTCATGTTGTACTGACGTCTCAAACATACAGGCGTTATAAATCCTGTGCTTGGTAGTACTTTCAACTTGTTCCTTCATCAGCCTCAAGAAGGCCACCATTAGTTTGGCAGAGATGCCATACAGTAATGAATAGATGGATGGATGCTAATGATTATACCCTTTATAACGAGTGGTAGCTTGCGCCACCTAGCCAGAAACTAAGAACCAAAAGTATAATTTCTTTCCTTTGCCAATTTGCTTACCCTCTGCAATTTCGTAACTATCACCAGGTGGTGTGGGATATCACCAGGATGAGCTTCGAGGGATTGGGCAAAAAAACTAAACACATCGCCCCCCGGCTCTTTCCCCCCGGCGAGGGAGTCGCCAATTTTACTCCAGTCAAACCTAGTTGGTGTTACCCCGGCAACGGGCCCACAGGGAGACAGGGTGGAAACTTTGGGCCGGAGCCATGCGGGAGGGAGTCACAATTTTCCTCTGTCCCGCCTATCCCCAGCTGTGCCAGTTAGTTGTACATCATTCAGTTCCTTCTAGATAATTTCCACCAGTCTTCCAATCAAGCGCTCCGGCTAAATCCGCCGCCCCCTCTGGTGTTGAGGTGCACAGCTAGCCTTGTGCACCTCAACACTATGTGTTCTATTGTCTCAACTTCCCCTTGTCACACGGCGCAGCGCATATCAATTTCCTCAGACCTTGTCTTGTACGTCCTGGTCATCAATACTCCTGTTCTAGCCTCGAAGGACAACGAGCTCCCCCGTGAATTATCATACCAATGTTCCCTCCTTTTTGTACCTTATACATAATTAAAGCTAATTTTCCCTGCATTCTTTCCTGCCCCATCTTTCTCTTGGCTTCTATTAGTACTCCCTTTTTCACAGAGGTAGTCTGCTCTGCACCTGAACTTGACTGTTGGCATTTAAAGTTCAGTTTTAGGGTTTGGTTTGTCCACTTAGTGTTCAGACTTTTCATGTATAGATGCCTATACTATACCTCTCTTGCCCCTCGTGTATCTTCAAGTGTGTCTAGCCTTTGCTCATATTTCAACTTACTGATCGCCTCTCTAGCCTCGAAAGATGCCCAGCCCATGTCTCCCTGCACTCCTTCATTTGGTGTATTCTCATGTGCCCCCAGTGCCAGTCTGCCCACGCTCCTCTGCCGGCTCTCTAAGCTCGACTGGACGTCACATTTTACGCATAATAACGCATTGCCAAAAGACAGCCCCGGCACCCTGACTCCTTTTCATATTCGCCTAACATTTCATATCTATAGTAATTCCATAGTGCCCGATGCTATGCAAAAAAAATTGTACAAACCTACGTTGCCAGACTGAATTTTGAAAGGGGTCTATCAAAGATTAATCCCTGCTCCACCGCCACAGTGGGCTGGAGCTATGAGTGGCGCGCTCACTGCTCGTTTCTGCCAGGCAGCAGGGTTAATGGTGAGCTTTATGCAGCCTTCACTCAGTGGATTTGAAGTGATTTCGGAACACTTTTTGTTGGTATCTTCTCGCATGTGCTTGCATATACTGCTCCGAAGGCACAAGGGTGAAGCACTTTTGGAACGCTCCAAATCCACTTAAAGGGATACTACAACGAAATTTCGGTGCTCATTTTTTTGGTCTATATGTGTTCAAAAGAGCAGTATCACATGGAACATACCATTATCTTGTTAAAAAAGTCTCGAAAAGGAATTTTAAAACGAATTAAACGATTAGCAAAGAGCACCTGGTGGATGTCGCTAACGCTTCGTTTGTAATGCTCGTCTGAAACCTTGACAGCTAGTGACGGAGGTTGTCTCGTCTCCAGCCACGACGAGAGAAGGGGGGAAGGAAAAATTCCCCTCTTCCCGAGAATCCCTTTTGAGTGTCGCAGAAGTCGCTATTGTCCCCCTAGAAGGTTATAGAAGATTAACCCGTCACTCAAAATTCGTACAAAAGCAACCGCTTCGGTGGCTGGAACGACTAGGCCATCCTCTCTATGTCAGCCTCGCCGTAGCTTTGCTCGTCTTGAGACGACCTACGTCACGATTGCGTTGGATGTCACGTGCTCTAAGCTGGGCCTTCTCCGAGCGCTTGCCAGAGTGGGCCGTTTATAACGAAAAATACAGCCACCAGGATCAAAATACAAACGTGTGATTGTCATTTACCGATGTTGTGGATCATAATCAACCTATTTTTGAACACGACGGGAATATTTCAAATTTCGTTGAAGTATCCCTTTAAGGAATTTTCCATTTATAGATTGTTTTTGCAGCACCCATAACAGTAGCGATACTCCGTCGGCGCCTTTGCGCATGCGTCGGATCGTTGTTGGGTATCGTTATCGGAGATATTGGAACGATTTACTAAAGCTTTCTAATGTTATTGGGTATCGTTATCAAAGGTATCACAAAAATACATCCGGTAACAAGGAGCTTTAGTTATCTCCCTTCGTCCACTGTGCTTTTATACCTACAAATTATGAAATGTTTATGTACAGTTTAGTTTAAAGTAATGACGCGTTCACACTGAAAGCAGATCCACAAACGCAAAGCGGATGCACACGTTTTCAATGGCAAAGCGGCTGGGGCGCGTTTTTGCCAACCGCTCCGGGACCGATTCCTCCCGATTGCTTTCGCGAACTGGCAACCAATTGCAATGTGACGCTGACGTGACATCAGTGGCTTTCAAAACAAGATGGCACCTGTCGCTGGTGAGCCGTCCTAGGCACTGTATTCCTACGTTCCTACATTTGCGGTGTCCGCATCAACTCCGCCTACCTGATTCTTGGTCCGATTTGTTTTGTTGTGTTTGAAAATTGTTGTTTCATGGGAATTATTTTTTTCATAAAACAACCATCTTCCCAAGGATAATTACACCACTCAGAGCTTGAAGCTTTAAGTGGTGTAATTATCACCCACAACTTTTAACTTTATTGAAAAGTTATATAAGATCTTCTGAAATTTTTAATGGCAAATGGCAGCCATTAATCCTCTCGAATAGTAGATGGAGCAGAATGGCACCAGTTACCGGAAACGAGCAAAAACGGGCCCAATTTTCTCATAGAAATTTTCAGAAAACCACTAATAACTTGTAAATCATATAACGGTTATTTCTGTAACTTTCGCATCCGGTTCTGACCGCAAGTGCTACATTTCGGCAGAGTATGAGCATTCAGCAACGCATAGTTTATTCTATTGGGTGTAAAAAAACCTGTAATTTTTTTAGGGGAGACACCCTGTATATTGAAGCGTCGGCAGCAACATGGTTCTGTGGGGACCACCGATATCCACGGCTATGACCCGCCGTTCCGAAGCAGCCGAAATGCACAGGACCTCCCACCCTAGGCTATTACATTAACTCTATGGCCTGACCTGAGCTGAGCCCCAGGTGGGGGTTGCACTTGCAGAAGCGCAGGGAAAACTTCTCCAGCAGCGCCCTCAGGTATCCGTTCTGGGTGTTGGGAGCCTGCAGGCTGCGGAAGAAGCGGCGCAGGGCCTGCGGCAGCAGCTGGTTCTCGAAGTTCTGCAGCTCAATCAGGTGGTCCAGCACCTGACGCCTGCAACAAAGGCACCACACGCGCACATTCAGGGACCCTCCCAAAGATTGTGCGGATTCAGCATCTCTGATCACTGCACGTCGTGTGTAGCCAACGTATAGAGCAGGGGTGGCCAAACCGCGGCTCTTCGCTGGTCCAAGTGCGGCTCGCAGATCCCTCGTAAGGGGACTCCCCCCCCCCCCCCCCTCCCCTTCCCTTCCGCCCTTTTCTGCGATTCCAAAGGATTTCAGAATAAAGAACAGCTTGGGGTTTGGCAGCCTTGTGTCTCCATACGTACAGTAGAACCATTTTGCACTCGTATGTTTCCACAGATCCTGTTTCTTTCATTGTTCGAGGGAGTTTGCCGCACCCTAGGGGGAAAGGCATCAAGGACAGGGACAACCATGCATGCACTTTGGTTTGGTGTCGAGGAAATGTTCAGTCTCACGGCCGTTGTCACTCGCCGGTGATAATTGTCCCCTTTATATAACGCATGTTCCCTATCGTTTCTTGTTGGAGGTCGCAGAAGCTCGATTTGTTGTCGTAATCCACGCCAAAGTCTGTAGTCGCCACTATTGAGCAAATGTGGCGGTCTAAAACAAGTTGTGCCGTACCACGAGCCAGCTCAATGCGCGACACTTGGGTTTCAGCAGGCGAGCATTGGACTCGAAATGGTTTGCACCGGTTTTTATTCGCTACATCCAAAACGTGCGGCGACATGTCAGTGCAAGCGGGCTTCCAGAGGCTTAACCGTCTTCGGGGAAGCGACAGAAGGACTGCCTACCGTCCTATGGTGCTGATGAACGTAGATAAACACGCATTGTCTGGTTCCCGCGGTTGTGCAAGTTGCATTCGGAGCAGCCTGGGCAACACCATGGGCGTACCAACCGGGGGGGGCAAGGGGGGTGCTTGTCCCCCCCCCCCCCGCCAGTTCTCAAAGTGGGAGGGCAAGGCATGTGTTTTGCCCCCCCCCCCCCTGAAACAGCCGCCACTGGGCAGGACACACTGGCTGGCGGCCGCCAAAAGATACCAAAGGCACCTCCCCCGGCACTAAGGGGGGGGGGGGGGGTTCTGGATTGCCCCCTAACTCAAAAACAACTTGGTACGCCACTGGGCAACACGCTGATACGACAGTAGCAACAGAGCCACCGGGACAACTGTTCCATCGCGCCAACCGCCGACAACATGCAATCGCAGAAGCCACAAGTGACAAGCAGAAATCGCTAAAGTACCCGTTTCGTCCAGCTCAGTGTTTTCCCGCTAAGTGCAGTCCGTTTGGCTGGAGTCACGAATAGTACATTCCAACCTCCTTAGAAATAATAATGTAGGGATATAATTATCAATCATGCTGAACAATCGATTCCGCACCACTTTTTTCCACCGATCAGACAAAGCACAAACATTCATTCCTCGGTGCACACTTGTGTCGGTATTCTTCGGTAAACAGTGAAAGCGAAAAGAGAGAAGTCGAGGTCGCACTTGCCTCGACTGCAAGTAGAGCCGCATCTGCCGGGAGTTGAGTAGCTGTGTGTGATGAAGGAACCTGGCAATTTCCAAGGGCACGTCCCTGACAAGCCGCTGGCTGATGAAGTACTGCATCCCCTGAGACGACAACACCAAATGAAATGGTTCATTAGTAACACTCAACCGTGCATGTCATAAAACTTGCACGAAAGATCCTTTTCATGTACCATACCTTCGCGGCAATAAGTTAGTTTCATTCACAAAGATTAATCCGACTGACAAAGCAAAGACTATTTTTTTGAAAAGATGAATTAAGTGATAATTAATATTTTATTCGAAAGAAGGATGTCTAGGTCACAAAAGGTTAAGATGGACGAGGATAGAGGATCCCTTTATCTTGGACTTCGTCTTGGTTCTAATGTATTTCTGTTTAAACTTTGTCGATGGTACGTTCAGGCGTACCAGAAATATCAGTGATTTCCACATGCAAGGGGTAAAGATCTATTTCTGTTTCTAATGGGTAACTTTCCGATCATTTGCTTGAGCAGCCTCCAGATGCCTGCTCCATAATCCAACAAAAATTAAGGAAAGCATGAGACAGTCTTCACGTACAATTTTAGAATGTTTAATTGTTCGCATTTATTTAAAACAATTCTGTTTACAAGCATTGTCTTGGGTGACACGGCTAAAGGTAGATTAACGCCTGCCATCCTTTCAGCCACGGCAACGGTACATTACATGCATGCTATTAACAAACGTAAGAAAACAAGAAGGCGATCGCTCACAAAAACTAAGCAACTTGATTAAAACTAAAAAACAGGGAATTACATAAGCTGTAAGAAAAACCTAAGTTACAAAACAAGACTAGAGGGAAGACAGAAGTCATCAACAAACAGGTCAAGTTAAAGTAATGCAACTGAAATGGCAAAATTTCAGTACAATGCACAAATAGTTTACCTAGTTCATATGAAACAACATCAGCCCGAAAATGGCCAAAGTGGGAAGAGTTATCATTTTACAGTATTAAAAAGAGTCATCTTGTTAATGTGTGCATTGCCCTGGTATTAGCCATCCAGAAATATTTTTTCATTACAATTTTCAATTGTAGCTTTTTTAACAAAACTGTGTAGACCGATGAGCGTGTCGGTCAAGTTGAGGAACACCGAAAGAAAGTGTATGTCGTCCCTTGTACCACCTGCGTCTTATTCTTTCGGTGTTCCTCATTGGAACTGCACAGGGCACCTAAGATCATGGCGTACTAATTCAACAAGTCGGGATTAGAGACCTTTAGAAATAGAAACATCAACTTATGGTGCCCGCAACACGTGTCTAAGTTCTTTAGCAACTTCATTGTCAAAAGTGGTCCCGAAGTACAACAAATGACGTTACGAGAGCCAGCGTGTCATGCTGTTGGATGTCACCGTCCTGGGTTGTGGAAGCTGCAGCAAAACGTATGAGCGAACGTGAGTCCCAACTCCTGGCTGCCGAAGTTTGTGCGGGCTGCTAAAGTGGAGGATGATTTACAACAGGACAGGGCGTCTGCCAGGCACTGCTACGGGGTCACCGCCGGGAACGTGGCAGGCCACGGCACGACACTTTGACGACGTCATCGGGCAGAAATTGAGGGGACCACATTTGAGGATGCGGTAAACGTGACGAATGGAAATACATTACAGGCACCGTAGTAAAACCAAACTAAATTATGTGTACAAGGCTGAAATCGCCAAAGTAGTGTAGGAGACGTGAAAGGACTTTGACCGAGAAATGCAACTTGATAACGCGCAAGCAAAAAAAAAAAAAAATTTTTGCAGGCTCGATGATGCTACCAAAGACCAGGAAGCATGGAATGTGTCCCACACACTCCATGTGTTGTTTGTGCTACTTTTCTTCTTTTTACTATCCATCTTTTTAGTTTCATTTATTTTCATTTTATTTTTATTCCCTTTTTTATTTCTTTATTATTTTGCATTTATTAATTTGAATTATATTACTCTTCATAATAAATGATAAATAGCACAAAGGACAGACAAAGACAAAAGTATGAAGACGGGACTAGCGCTATTCACCTCTTTGTGTTCTTGTCCGAGCCTGTCCCCCACGCTATTTATTGTTTATAACGCTTACCCAACTAGCCCACCTTAATATTTTAATATTTATTCATTTCCTTTATTTATATTTATTTATTTAAATATCTTTATTAAGATCTTATTTTATAAGCTTCGTTCGAAATGTGGCGCATTGCCGGAACATTTGCATTCAAATATAATCGCGGCTCAGTGGCTATGCGGAGCGCAAGTTTGTCTGTTTCTTGCACAGTCGTTGCGATGACGTCAGAACCCCGAACTCTTATTGGCTGATTGGAAAACATAGTGGGTAGACCTCGAGACATCTAGCATTGAGGTCTACCCAACCCACTATCCTAGCAGTTAAAGCCAATCAGAACTCGGCGTCGTTCTGACATCATCGAAACCTTTGCACAAGAAGCAGACGACTTGCTCTCCAAATAGTATCCGACTGCCAACGCACCGACCCAGGTTCGAGCCCCGCTGAGGCACCTTTCTTACGTTGATTTTACGTGGGCCCATTGTAAGCTTTACACATAACCTCAATGTCGCATAAGCTTGTCGGTCGTTCCTCGTGCACAACGAGTCTTTCGTTAAAAAAATGACTCGTCAAACACGTTCTGCGTTAGAAAACTGCTCACCAGTTCGGCGTCTGCGTTGAAAGTGACGGTGCCCTCGTCCAACTGCAGATAGAGGCGACGGTAGGAGAAGCCAGGCTCCTTGGGCATGGCATAGATGCTGGCATAGCCCCACTGGCTGACGCACAGGCTGCACGGCAAGAGGAGAGAGTGCCCTCAACGGTCCATTGGAAGAACTGCCCCACATTCTCCGAGCCGGGGGCTCCCAAACTTTCCCTTCTCAAGGAAAGCTCGGCTCTTTTTGACGACGGCCGAAGAAGCCCTCCCGGCCTCAGCATTGACGCGTGACACACGGTCACGCGTCAATCTATGGTTCAGATCTTCTAAAAAGGTATTGGGAGAATAGTTTACTTAAAGGGGCACTGACACATCAAAATCATATTTTTTTTTATTATCCGAAACGATTGAAAACGATGCCGGGACATTACCCTCAAAATTTGAGATTTGGGAATTCAGTATTCGTGAAGTAAAAAAACAATTTCCAAATGCCGAATACGAAGTTCCCGCGCGATCGGTGCCGGTGTCTTGACGTCAAAAATTGCGGAGACCTGAGAGTCCACTTCCTTTCACCACTCCCTGCTGTTGCCATGGCGACCCAGAGCGAGGAGGAAAGGAGCGAGCGCCCGGCGTTGCGGCGGACCGGTTTTGAGCGGTGTCGCCTGTTTTCCGTTGGAGGATACAAATCCAGGAGACGGCACCACAACGAACTCCCGATTTTTGGTATTGCAAAAAGAAGGGCCGTAGTGCGTTCGCAATTGCGTTAAAAAACATGTTTTAGGATTGCCGTAATTAAATGTTATAGAGATGTCGCCTACAAAGCTTCTAAATTTCCTGATTTTTGACGTCACCGATCAAAAGAAGCGAGGAGGCGAGAGGCGGGAAAATCAAACGCCAAAAATAAAAAGGCGCGCGCGCGCAGGAAAATTTTTTTTTCGCGATGCGTTTTTTTTTGCGTGTCTATGACTGCAACTTGCATCGTTTTAGACAATAAAAATAAATACGACCTTTGGGGTGTCAGTGCCCCTTTAAAGGGATGCTGAACCGAAATTTGGATTTTGCAATATAAGACCACAGAAGCGTTGAACAAGACGCCAAGAACTCCAACACATCATTCATACATCGATATCTCAAATGGATGGCTGTATTTCTGGAAAAGAAGGGCGCAGTCAAGCGAGAAATGTGACGTCACGATTCTCTTCAAACAGTTGAGAATGAGGGGAAGCGGCGTCACTTCTCTTTTCCTCACTTCGGTTCACCTGGTCGAGGGGACAAGGCAAAGAGGCGAGGGAATGAGAATCGTGGAGCCACATGTCCCATTGGCCTAGTCGGCCGTGTTTAGTCGCGCGCTTCTTTTCCAAAAATACGGCCTTCCGTTAGAGATATCGCTGTACAAGTGATGTTTCTGGGTTTTGCAGTGTCCTGTCTATTGCACCAGCCTTGCTTTGTGAGCTCCAAATTTTAGTTCAACATCCCTTTAAAGGCTGACAAGCAACCAGGAAGCCAGGAAACTCTCTCTCAATTCCTCCTTTCCATTCAAGAAAGAAGGAGACCCTCCTCCTTCTTGCAGGGAACAGCTAAGAAACTCGCTTCTGTGGGGAGAGAAGGGGAGAAGAGCGCAAGAGGGAAGGAAAGAAGCAAACTGAGAGCCGGTTTTCTTCCCAGCAGAAGACGATTCCGTAGGTAGGGAACCCTCAAGGAAATTCTGGGAAGCACTTGGTTCCCAGGAACCCAGTGTGAGAGCCTACTGTTTAATTAGAGGGATTGGTGGCCGAGCGTGCTAGTGCGCCGCAGCTCGGACCACGAGGAGTGCAGGCTGGCACTGCGGAACGCAAGACACAATCCCCATGCCTCCCCATTTCAATCTGGATGAGCATCGTACTGGCGTGCGGTCGTGTAACACTGCCGCTTGATGCACGTTAAAGACCCCAGGCTACCAGTAGCACTAAGCCTGCTAGAGCAGACACTGGTCGCCCAGTGGGGTTGCCAACGTCCCAATGTCTGAACTTACACACCACACAATTACGGTATTTTACTATTCGCAAGTTTCACGACGTATGGGGGCACACTGGTCCCCACCAAAATGGCTGTCATCTGGATGATTGTAGCAGAACACCTGTACGAGGCTAGGTCCACGAGGCGCAATTCTAGTTTCGTAAATATGAGCGATACAAGGACCTTACTTCACACTTCCACCTCAAGAATTGATAAACAAGCATCTTCGTTGTGAAGCCTATCGTCCAGGAGCTAAGGAGCACGATTCTCACACTGCGGTACCAGCGTCGCCAAGAGTTGCCATTGGTCTATGGAGTGTGCCTGCGTGGCGTACCTGTGCCAGAGCACCTCGTCCTGGGCCAGCTGCGCCCAGACGCAGGAGGCGAGGCAGAGGTCGGTGGCATTCAGGTGCGACAGGACGGCCAGGCTCAGCTCCGGTGGCCAGCTCGCCAGGTCTGGGAATCCTGCACGCACCCGCTCCGCAACTAAGTAAAAAAATCCCCTCGCTCAAACGTTCTGTCAGGGGCAGCGAAGACTCGACGGCATTTGACGGGGATATTGTTAGCGGTACTCACAATCGGAATTATATGCAACGAACATGAGGTGAAGGAACTTGGGAAATGTATAGATGAGTACTTCATCCATGCACCTCCTCTTTGGAAGCATTGCATCCTTATCTCCAAAACACTGATACGCGTACAGTTCGACCGTGGAATACTTCCATGCCTACTAGATTACTCTAGTGATACATAGCTTGCACTGACATTACTTGGTCAGACATTATGGGGGAAAGGGCACGTGAGAAAATAACTTCCGCTGCGTTAACAAGACGCTTCCAGCCACCACCAAGAGAAGCAGACTGACGTCATGTACAAGCCATGTATACGAAGTTCTCACCCTGCTGTACAGCCCAAGCCATGTATACGAAGTTACATGGCTATACGAAGTTACATACAAGTCACCCTGCTGTACAGCCCACACCTCTAAGCAGCAGAGAGGGGAGAGAAAGAGAGAGAAGAAAGCGCACTGCTAACCCCTCACTCCCCTCTCCACGCGGTGCTACGCCATGGATCGTGCGTGCTACGACGTCAACACAATGGCTGCTCTCCACTGCTGCTGCTCTCTCCCTTGGCTTTTCTACCATGCTACCGGCACCACCATGAGCAAGCCAAGTTCATGCAGAGCTCTCATAGAAAGATATCGCTTTGGGAGGTGTCTCGAGCGCGGTACGAAGATCAAAGAGTGCTTAGACGGAAACCCCAGTCGAGTGGTACTACCTCTCTCCAGCTAGAACCACTAAACAAGCTACCCTTACATTACCAACACCCCATTTCCCGATTATTTTGCGGGCGCCGCCATATTGTTGCCCACAACTGGCAACGCTTACAATTCAAAGATGCCCCTTTATGAGATTGGGCAATATTGGTGCGCTCTGGAACGGACCGGTTTAACATTTCTGGAGGACAGAAATGTGTCCTGCGGTTTACGATAAAGCTTTGCATGACTGGCAACAATGATTTTAAGCGGCAAGACGACGGTAGCGCCGTTACCCTGAAGCATAGCGTATTTAGTGTCCCTACCCGCAACCCTTCGCAGCACAGGGAAAGCTGTGGGGGCTTGGCCTGAACAAAGTGGAACTATGAACGACACCATAAAACTGGCCCCAAAGCCCAAGCCTGATAGAGCATAGTTCCCCTCACACACACGACCGAGGAAAGATAACGAGCCAAAGATTGCTAGAATGTTATTTACGGCGGTCGAGAGAAATAAACTCCGCACACAAACCAGTCCGAGTAAATAGTGCTCTCTCGAAATGTATATCAAGGATTCCGACATATATAACTACAAAGAACCTTGAGGGAGGCACAAACATGAAGGCTTTGTGTTTGTGCTGCTGCCCTTCTCTTGCCTCAATCTCGAAGGGCTTATTGTAATTAGTACGTTTAACTTGCATCAGCTCGTTTGCAGTCTTACTTTTTGTCCATTTAGATGTCACACTTTTAAGAAGCTGAACAGGTTCTATGGGCATGGGTGCATATTTATTTTGTGCTTGTAGATAAGGCTATGGGTGCATATATAGTCAAGCTCTGGTCACGAAAAACACCGCTGCGGTAGCTCCCTCGTCGGAGTGACTGGGGTGGCCCACCATACGAGCTTTTCCGACTGCTCGCGCTTCGTTCGACGAATCTGTTTACATTTTGTTTATTTAATTCACGTTATTTCCCCCGATGGGTCAGGACTCAGGGTGACCGGGAAAGATAGTGGGAAGATCAGTTACCTTCGGTATGACCATCTTCGTTACCTTCAGCGTCTTCCTTGACTTTTTTGAGGACCTGTCCCATGGACGTGCGCTATCGCCTGAAACAGACACGGAGGCGATCGCTGCAATCAGTGCCTCGCGACAAGCTGCTTTCTTCCAAACACCACTTGACTGATCCAATCGGTCGGCAAACAGCGCCAATAACAACCCGTGCTTTGCTCATTTCCGAAGATCCCTCGAAACGCTTCCCGAGGTTCGGCGCCCGTTCGGACGCGTTTAGCGATCGAAGGCGTCTGCTTACCAGAGATCGGAACGGCTCGAATGGGTGTCGGGCATCGGGTTTAGAGCCAGTGCGAGTCCGGCAGAATATCGATCGGATGTTGTGTCCATCTGAGATGGAAAATTTTGATGCTCATCGTAGCGGTGGTCGCGGCCCCGACGATGATCGGACTCGCAAGGTGTCGCTCCGTCCGATGCTATGTTGTAGGCTATGTTGTGTTGGGCTGTGTTCGGCTGATCACACTGCACTCATGGGTGATTCTGCAACGAAGGTGACGTCAGCCTTTCACAAATCTCGGCGCGTGACACCTGTACGCCATATACGAAGCCGCGATGCCGCGAAGAAATCGTCAACAAAACTCGGACGAGAATTAGGATGACGAAATTACGTTAGTATACGGCCCCTGTCACAGCACCGAGCAAAATAGGACGCCCGCAAATTATATTTAACAACATACGAGTCTTAGTTTATCAGTAAATGAAGCGTGTTCTTATTACTTTTGTTTTATATTGATTTTTCATTTTATTTACTGTTGTGTATTAATTAAATACTTGGTGCGTGAAATTGTGTAATAGTTGTAATAGTCTTGCAGCAAAACAAAGATGGCGGCACTCAGGCCAGGTAATGTTTTCGTTTTGCGTTAGACAGCTGTTATTCTTTTTCTCTGTTGTAAAAGCAGGTATTTTTATTTTATTTAACAGAGTGAATTTTGAGGAAAAGAAATAGTTCTTCGACAAAGTTTCAGAGCTCTGTAGCATGCTTTCGGGCTACCACGTTGAGATCTTTTCGGACGGTCTCGTGGCGAGCTTTGACCGATGTGAATGTTGCACCGCACCGGTCACTCAAAAACGTGCGGATGACATTGGCAACAAATGCATACGGTTGTGTCTTGCCCTTCTAAGCGCTACAGTGTTTTACTGATGACTCGCTTGATCCGTGTGGCAGGGAACGACGAGAAGGCGTGGAACGACCCGCCGGTGTTCGCGTACACGGAGGTGCAAGGCACCCCCGCGGCTGCACCGAAGAAGCGGACGCCACTGAACAAACGAGTGCCCTTCCCGCAGGAAGGCCTGCCGCCGACCACGCCTGCCGCCACCCTAGGTGTGTCTGCCATCAGACAAGGGGCAGCTCATCTTAGCACAAAGCAGTTGCAATATGCCGTAAAGCCCCGAACGAACGCCCACCCCCTAAAGATCGCTCACTTCCTATTTTTGCCATAAATTGACGACCAATAAAAAAAAAAGAAAGCGGTAGTTTATCGAAAATTGGGTCTATTGTAGAGGGTTTTAATGAAAGACCAGATCGGGACACTGTACTCTTAAATCGCTGGAGTGCTGCTTCCACGGCACATACCTTATGTTAGCATTGCATGTGCCAAGGTAGCTTAGCATTGTCAGACGACAGTATACTTTTTCCAAAACATTCGGTGCCCTTTGGGGTGCCATAAGGATTGCTGGGAACATCCTGTATAGAAGAAGCAGACAGCAGAGGAGACAAAGAAAATGCTGGCGAGCAGGCGATAGCATACAACCAACTGCTCTTCGCAGTTGCTTGCCTGGCATTGCGTTAGGGAAGAGAAGAGTTTTTCCAATCTGGGGGGGGGGGGGGGGGGGAGACTGCCTATTGGGCTTATAAACAGAAGACGAGAGTATGCGCAGCAGTATCTACATGGGCACGAGTTTCCTTTTGAGTCTGCAGTTTGCGCTTTCCACTTTTTCAGGTTCAGCACCTATCGGAATACCACCATTGAACCCCTGTGCATTGGAGGCAAGGGATGTGTCCTCTGGAGCGGGGACTTCACAGCCATCTCCCAGCGAACAGCCGCCCAACACTGGCTCCGCCTCCGATGAACTGAAGAAGGAAACATTCGAGAACCTTGAGATAATAATGTCCAAGTTTTTTGATGGCATAGAGGCTAGTGTCTTGATCTTCTACCCATTTTGAGATGGGAGTGTGTATGGCAAGGGGTTGTCAGAGGAGCTATAAGAGCGCTTTTTGTTCCAATTTTTCAGAAGCGTAGACAGGAGGATGTAAAAAAGCGTCTCGACCTGCTCAGGCAGGCTTGGGAGCAGGGAAGTCTCAGTACCCCCGTCCAACACAAGATGCGGGAGTTGACATCAGGTGAGCTTCCGATTATATATGTATCTTGCTACTCGTCGCTGCCTGCCTAGCCAGTGCCATCCGTCGTTGCTTTTCAATTCTGAATCCTTTCTCAAACAATAGTGCTCAGTAAAACTAAATATATTCATATATGAGCTTGAAGTATAGTGCTATGTTCAAGGCCCATTTAGACATACACCACAGCACTACCTTAGCACTATTGATCAGCACCAAAAATAGTACCGATCTTGTTGATGCTCCACAGACTTGTCTTTATATTAGTGATACAGCATAGTGATCGTTGCTAAGTTATGTTTGAGTCAGCACTGCATTAGTGCTATTCCTAGTGTTGAGTTAATGTTGTGATGTATGTGGGGACCTGCCTTAACATGTTAAAAATAGAAATGAACTTCCTCTTCTCGTCTTGAGCTGTGACACTTAACCCTAATTAAGTTAAGAACTCCCAAGTAGATGAAAATAACCCCAAAAAATCCACCAATCATTTCTTTTCCCCTTTTTCTTTTGAGGAGACAATAATGTTAACTTACTGAAACAGCAGCCATCAACTGCTTTGAAATGTTTTGTCGTTTTCAAAATGACAATCAATATATGTCAGTGCATCAGTAATAACTTCTGGAGATCATCCGTAGTCTTAACGTTTGGGAGCATTTATAGTATGTGCGAATTGTCAACTGCAGAGAGGAAGCAAATAGCCGGCAAGTGCTGCGAAGTATGATCGCACAACTTTCCTAATGACCCAATTCATGAGGCATCTATCTTCCTGTAAATAGTGTCTGCCAAAGGTCGATGTTCTATTCAGGTAGGGAACATGGTTGCTCCAGAAATAGTAATTTCTCATACACCAGAAGATATTGCAGCAGTGCAAAGCAGTTCTGGTCACTGTAAGCAGTTGCTATTAGCTCGTACAAAGATTTACCTGTGCCCATGTATTGATCACTTTAGTGCTAACAGATCCTTCGGTGTCTGCACATCAGTGCATCAACAAAAAGCATGAATCCAGATATATGCCTTGTATACATCATCCATAAATGTCTTTAATTTGAAGAATGCTTTTTTCAAGCAATTGAGTGCATCAGGTTTTAACTCCACTTCATTTACAGAATTGTGCAGCGGAAACTGCGAGAAAGCAAACACACTTCACGTTTCTCTTATGGTCGATTACGTCAGTGAGGTAAGCTGCTATGCACCGAGAATTCAATTTCATTTGTGTGCATTATAATCTAGTTCGTTCAATTGAATTTTGAAACTGTATATTGTACCTTTGTTCGCAACAGGTGAGCCAGTGGATGGTTGGCATCAAACAGCTCATTGTTGCTGCCCAGCTAACACCAGGGGAATTGTCACCAGCCGGTGTTGACACCGAAGCCTCCTGACACCGAAACTTCCAGCACACATAAAAGAATGCCACCGGTTACGTCAATATTTTTTTTTATTGCGTTCTATATCGTTCACAACAACGGTCGAAGCACCCGACATTCCCTGGGTGCTATTTTCGGTACCTTATATTTTTCTCGCCGTAAACAAAAGGGTCACTTTCCACGTCCGTTTCTTGACCCACTAATGAATGTTCTGCAGCTGCGCTATATACAAAAACCGCGTGCCATAATAAATATGCGTAGAATGTACAGTAACAGAGCAATGCAGATTGTTTGTTCTCCAAACAAACACTTCTTTTAATGCTGGAAGACTTGCAAGGATGTCCGAGTCATCCAAACTGCCACTAGTATAGTGCACGAGAACCTGCAAACAGAAATGTCTGATGCTGATGATGATGATGGTAGCGGGGAGCCATCGTCCAGAGTTCTTTCCTCTTTAATTTTACGGCAGGGATCCAGCATCGAATTGAGCGACTGCTCTAGAAGTTCCATAAAAATATCTCCAAGCCATACCCTCGCAGAAAAAAAAATTCTTTTCTTGCAATTTCGAAAAACAAAAACTGTATATTGGGTTTGCATTACTCGCACCATAAAATGGAAAGTTCCACGAAAACCAACCTTCTTGCTCTCCTATATACAGGCCTCGTGGCAGGGACACGCCGTCAGGGTGTGCATTCCTAAACAGTTGCAGTAATATAATACTATGTACAGGCAGGATCTACGCTGCACGTAATAAATAAGAACACAAGAGGAGACGTGTGCAGGAAGAAGAATGGTACAGCATGTACAACAGGAAGCCTCGCCGCTCCCGAGGTCACGACTTGCTCTCCGAGTTGGACGAGGCGATCTGAGCCGCAAGGTCGGCGAACTTGGCCACGTAGTCGACGCTGTTTTCGTTCATCAGGCACTGCAGCTGAGTGTCGACCTGCGAAGAGACGACGTGCGTTTCACGATAGTCCCCTTTCGCAGGTCTAGTAGCTGTAAGCTAAACACTCCCTTGTATATATGCATTATTGTTTACAAAGTCTGGACTATCCTGTACTGCTCCATTGCTCCGACTCTGAAATTGGGCGTAGAACCTCTACTGCCATTCGAGGCAGACCGAATTCCCGAAGATCAAAAAGAAGCCCCTTAATAGACATTAGGGTTTGAATCTAAGCACCACCTATGAGAAGCGGTCACTTATAAACGTTGCCAGGATTATTTCAAGCACAGGAAAAGATTAATGCATAAAACACAGTTTCATCCCAACTGTTAACAGATTTTTCATTTCGTGAGCCCTCGCAGAAAACAACTGTAGGCAATTGTGTTTGTCTTAAGGACAACACAAACGATTGTGTTGCCCTTTGGCTGCTATTTTAGAGAAAGAAAGTTTTGCCAGTTATGACTAGATATTTTATCGTATTTATTAAAAACAATGTTTGCAGCATTGCTGCTGGAAGTGTTTTCCCTAAGCTGAGAATATTCATACTTGCTTGGCAAACAGTTGTTTTTACAGAATTAACTTCCAGGCATGAACATATTCTCGATTTTGAACACTTCTTTCTACTTTTAGACACTTTTCAAACAGAAACAGGCATGGACTACAATTGGGCACTATACTCGGCGTCAACTTTTCTGTGCAATGTTGTCAAGGCTAGCCTTGTTTGCACAGTGCACACTCTGCACGTGACTACGTCGTGCATCTCATTTGTTTGAGATGCACTCTTGTGCGAAAGACTTTACACGCTCGTGCAAGCAGCCTCGGCAATATCGAGCAAAAAAAAGTTGACGGCGAGCATAGTAGCAGGTGGAGCACCAGGCTTTCAACCTACGTCGGGCACCAGCCTCGTGATGGAGTCCAGCGTGGAGTTGTCCGACGCCAGGACTGGGGCTCCGGACGTCGACAAGCCGGAGCCCTGAACACCTTTCAGCGGAGAGTCCAGCGTGTTGAGGAGGCTGCTCAGCGAGAAGTCCGAGCTCTGCCGTAAAAGCAAAGCAACGACGTGAGAAGGGAAAAGTCTGCTTAAAAAAAGGATTGCTGCCAAAATCGTTGCGCAGATTGTCATTGAAATGCCGTCGCCCGCTAGGCGCGGCGAGCAGACGACGTAGCCCCGTCTGCTCACTGCGCTTAGCAGGGGACGGCACCACCCGTTGCGACTGTCGCTAACTCGCTCTTGGCCGGGCCGCCAACCCAACCATTTGTTTGCCTAAATTTTTGCAGGAAGCGAGCTACGCCTTGAAATTTCACCAGGTAAAATCCTTCACCTCGGTGCACATTCGGTGAAAGTTTGAGCGTTTTATGCACAGGCACCGAGCTTTCCGGCTTGTTTTCGAGCGGTGGGATTCATTGTGGACACCCTATGCACAAAGCACCCCGGAGCAAACGGGGGTAGGGTGGACGGGAGAGGTCACGCACGCACCTCTCCATTGAGCCAGTTTGGGTCCGGTGCCGAGGGGACCAGCTTGAAGGGGCTCATTGGAGGAGTGGTCAGGGCTTCCGTCTTGGCTTCGTCTTCCCGGCTACTGGCCTTGCGCACCTCCTCGCAGGCCAGTCCAAAAGCGGCTGTCGCGAGGCACGATAACAAAATTAGCACAAAACTAGCGTAACTACAGTCAAGCCCGGTTATATCAAGCCTGGGTATTTCGAATTATTGTTTATATCGAACAGTCCAAACATCCCCTTGAATATCACATGTAATAGTATAGGAGCGTTGTTTTTCTGTAGCATCGAACTCCCATGGGGGGGACACTCACGGCCTCCCGTCCCTTCTCCCAGGGCGAGCACATAGCTTGCGTTGTGGGGCTGGCAGACCACCAAGCCAGCATACGTGCACGGGGATACGCAGCAAAAAAAAAAAAGTGGAGGATGGCAAAAGCAAGGGGAAAGGCACGTGCGTGCGTAGGGAGGGTAGGAACTGCCCGCCGTTGGAAGTAGTGTGCGCTCTTTCCTCGAACACTGCTGTCGCTACGCTACGCGACTCCTTAGCCCCAAAATAAAATACCTAAGCAAAAAGAGAAAAACAAAAAAAGTCTTCGTTAAGTTGAGTGTGTCGACAACTACGGTTGAGCAATCACACTTTGAACACCTTATCTTTGATCTTTGTTTACCTTTTTCTTTCGCTACTATTGCTTTGCCCGTTTTTTTTTTTTTTTTTTTTTTTTCCTTGTATCTTATTGTAGCTTACTAACCGCATTTACGCCGAAGCCATCATTGATCCAAACACTAGGATTACTAGGAGTGGGCTATCTTTCGGTGCTTAAAAAGAAAAGCATATGGAGGTAGGTTATCTTTCTGAGGTGGGGCATCTCCTGGGATATTACGGTAGTAGTTTCAATGATGACCCTTCGGTTCTGAGAGATGAGCGGAAAAACTTGGCAATCGCTTGTTTGTGCTAAGTGCCATGCCATGTACACCACAAGAGATTGGGTGTCACTAATATTCAGTACCCTACTGATTTATACTACCGGGTCGTGTAAAGTTCTTAGTGTCAACTATGAGTACTATTTTAATGCAATCTTGCCTGATACTCACTCAATCTCACAAAACAGATCAATGCAATGAGTTTATGGCATTAGCTAACACTAAAACAAACAAGATGTAAACCTTGTAATGATCGGTCAAGTGTTTCTATCAATAATTTCAACCATGTACAGGGCCCAACCTGAAAATGTATTTTGACACCAAGCATTGTATCTTCGTTGGAAACTACTGCAAGGAAGGTACTACTTCAAGTAAAGTAGAATTACAGGCTCCTCAAATACCTTCGGAGAAAGATGCAAGTACTCAAAGTATTGGCGCAAGTGCTTTCCAACGCTACTTATATAATTGCGACAAAACCATAATTTTCGATCAAATTGACCCTAATTGGAGTGCAGTGACGGGGACAGACGAGACTTACAGGCTAAATTGGAGTCGGACGCTTCCACAAAGCTGGACAAAGGATTGCTGCCCTCCATTGTTGAGCCAGTCTCCAGAGACGAAGCAAGGCCTGTGAAAGATCACAGACATACAAAGACGAGTTAATAAGAGTCATCTCCAGTCCTATAGGCCTGGCATCGTTTCAAGCAGACGATTAGTGGAACAACTCAATTGCCATCAAACAAACCTTTCGTAGAGATAGGGAATGGGCCTCGTCGACAGCCCACAGTGCCAAAATGAAATGCACAGAACTCACCGGAAAGGCTCGCCCCAGAGGCATCTGCAAAGCTGGGAAGGGCATTGCCATCCGTCAAGAGCTGCGTAGGTCCACCATCCGATGGCATGCCTAGAAGACAAAGTCGTAAAATAGATCACCCACCGCAGCAAGCACGAACACAATGGACCTACAGTCATAAGATGGCCGCAGTAAACACAGCACCGCTTGTTCCACTGTTCACACTAAGCCCAGTAGATAAAGCCAATTGAAACTTTTCTATCGCTCCAAGATTGTGCTATACTCCATTTCACTTTACGGTGGACTGCAACGGATGCTATGAGTTGTCGGAACCAATCCAACTCCACGCAAGTGTCATGTGACCTCCAAAAGAAGCACAACGACGTGTGGGGAGCCTAGCCAAGCGATGCATTCGCAGCTCTAGATTGGTTGGGACGACTCGTAACATCCACTGCGGTCCATTGTTAGGTGAAACGGAGCATAGAGGTAAGCAGAAAGCTCAGCACGGCCGCAGTGCTCGGTTAGAAGTCTCTTTAGAAAAATCCTTTGTGCCACTTGTGCCGAAAACTTTGGGGAGCAAAAAGAACTCACTCTCGGGTAGGGAGATGTCCAGAAGGGAGGAAATGTTGGGCGGAGACAGCGACGGCAGCGCGCTCGAACTGGCACTGGGCTCCAGCGTCTGCGCCGCCAGCTCCTGAAATGGCACACAGCCCGCCGTGGCGAAATGCCGTCGAGGCCGAGCTCGATCGAACACCGACCTCCACCCTGGCACTCAGCTCCTGCTGACTAGTGGCATTCAGCTGCGCGGTGCACTGGGCTGCGAGCTCGCTGGTGAGCTCGCTGGTGGCTTGTGTTGCCATCACGGCGTTGTTCACCTCGGTCGCCACGGGATGAGCCGCCACAGCCACGGTCGTCGGTTCGAGGATTGGCATTGTCTGGACTTCGAATGCTGGCCCTGGACGTCGTGCAGTGGTGTGATTGGTCAGAGTTGTTTTTGAGCAGCAAAAATTACTTTTGGAGCACAGGCATACACTTCATCCCCATCTGCTCCACTCCAATGATAATACGGTAAGATTTCATGTCCTGTCTAACAAAACAAGATAACGCGTTCCTGGGTTTATTTGCCACTTCCATGCAACACCTCAGTGGAGTCCATTGCACAGCAGACACCTGCTGTGAATGTCTTGCAAACATTCAACTACAGTAAAACCTCGTTATAACAAAACGGGATATAACAAACTAATGGATATAACAAAGCAATCACAATTCCCCTTGCTTGCTAATAGTGGGAAGAAATGGACATTGGCTATAACAAACTAATGGTTATAACGAAATAATTACGACCGCTCCTTCAACTTTGTTATAACGAGGTTTTACTGTAGCTGTTAAGTTGTAATGTCATAACATAATGAAAGAACCACTATATAGGTCTCCTGAATGGCACTGTTAGCGCAAACATGACATCAGCACTTTTCACCGTCTTACTTTGAAAAAGTATTGGAGGGCATGAAATTTTACCGTTTAGGTTAGCACGCCGAATGGCCACTTTTTATACCAACAATAGTTTTAAAAACACTATTTGATTCTCAAAAAAAAAAAAAAAACCTTTGCCATTGTATTTTGATCTATTGATCAAACCGTCACATGCAGAATCGCATCTTGCGAGCAATGCAGCAGACGCCAACTCCAGTTTCAGGGCACACAACGCCATGCCTAGTGTTGCCATGACTTCCTTTTCATTCTTCTTTTTTTTTTTTCTTCTTTTTAAAGATATTGAAGCTGACAAAGTTTTCTCAAAGCATTTCACAGCCCTCTCACCTCTGTTGTACCTTTCCTGTTTCTTTTCTGCGAAATTTGAGTTGTCTTGCCAGCAGAGCTCTAATGGCACAGGCGTTTGGCAGGTGGCCAATTAGGCCAACTCTCTTCGACCTTGGCACGCTTGACTTACTTTTACAAGGCTAAATTAGAGCTAGCTTCAGTAAGAATGCAATTCTGCATTAAAAGCACGCAATCACATGTCTGCTCCTCAAACAATGTTGTGCATGGACACTGCTCTACATCTAGGTATACAGTACACATATTCACCTCAAAAACCAGAGTAAAAAAACCTGGCGCCTTCCTAATTCCCCCTTTACGTGGTGAAGTGAGATGTATATAGGTCCTATGACCAATCGTGACAAACAATAGGCTAATAAATAGAAGCACCTAGAGAAAAATGCCAGAAGAATGTAAATGGAAGGGCGCAGAAACTCCACAGCACTGCGAGAGCCCACCTGAGTGCAGGAGCTTGACGGTTGCCGGCAGCGGTTCCACCATGGTGGGAGGCGGCTGCGGCAACATGGTGGTGATGGTGGCCGGTGCCGAGGGCAGCAGCTGCACCAGGGTGACCGGGCGGCGTTGCTCGCGGGGCAGCAGCGGCCGCTGCACCACCAGCGGCTTCCGCGTGGTGCGCATGCGGTGGCCGCGCCGGTGCCCAGGCAGCAGTTTCTGGTGACGGCATTGAAGCAAAAGTTAGAGCACTGAATCGTAGGTAAACAATTCCAGATTTCGGTATGACAAAATCAACAACTGCAAATCCTTTAAGCACGTTTTAGTGCTTGGTACTTTTTTTTCTTCTCTTCTACGCTACTTAGTGGCAAGGAAACCAAAGCACGAAATTCACCAATGCAAAGGAGCTATCAATACTTACTGCATCACTTCGAAGAAAAAGAAAATGTAACTGAGAGGCAACTGCCGACACATGTGAGAATGACAGCAAGTGCAACAACCAACATCATCATGATCATTGACACCAGTGCTGTTTGGAATTCTGCTGTTCGTTAACCCATTTCTGTTTTTTATGCATAGTGCGCTTCGTTATTATATGCCGTCATTTTAAGTGCAAGCATTGTGGAAGCTACAAGAGCTAGCCCCAGTTTTTCGGTATACCCGCTAAAGATGCACTCTCTCATGGTGCGAACATCGTTCGAGGCAGCACACTTGCGCTTCTAGCTTCAACTTTGCCCACACATAAAGTGAAACAAACCATAATGCTTCTAGTGACCCCAGTATACCGTGGAAATGAAAGTGAACAAGCACAGCCTAGCACCGAGAAGTTCTACTTCGAGCAACCGTAGCTCAGAACTGCTGCGTACGGAGCAGAGGGCTGGTGCGGGCCAGTTGGCTCATCGTGTATGAGAGAACAGCGCCGAAACAAACGCAAAGACCAAGACAGATTAAAATTATAGCCACCAAATGAGTTATGCTTAGACTTTGGCAATCCATTCACCAACTTTCTTCCGGGTGCCGCCATTTTGACGCTTAGTGCACAGCGGGCGTATCTGGTGATCGGCACAATTCGAAAATGCAGCTTCCTGAGCCTCGAATAAGGTGCCGGGAAGCTCATACAATACTGTATCAGTCTGTCCCAGACCCCGTTGACATTTCTGGAGGACCTTTTCCTGAAATTTGAGATTGAGCTTCAGACAACTGGCAACCATGATTTTAAGCACAAAGGTGAAAGAGGTCGAACGGAGAATGTGGGACGAAGGAATGCAGGGAAATCGGCTTTAACTACATACAGGGGACGAAAACAGGTAAGAACATTGGTACGATAATTCACGACGGAGTTCATCGCTGTTTGAGGTTAGAACGGCAACACTATTGAGAACTAGGACATATAGGGCATGAAGTATGACGAAATGGATAGGCTGTGTACACTATGCCAAGTGGAAGACGAGACAGTAGTTCGGAAGTGTGCGGGGCTTACTCTTGCCCCTCCCGGAAGGGGCGACGCATTTGGCTGGAGCATTGGGGTTTGCAGATGAAAATGGAGGAATGGATGAAAAGGGCATTGCAATAACAAAGAAGAGATTAGAAGACTGGTGGAAATTATCTAGGGAGAATTGAAGGACGTACGAATAACTAGCACAGCTGGGGACAAGGGAGAACTGGGACTCCCTCACGTGACCCCCAACCCCAAAGTCTCAACCCTGTCTCTCAGTGGGCACAGTGGAGACGTGGTACTCCGAAGTTTCAACCCTGTCTCTCAGTGGGCACAGTGGAGACGTGGTGCCTACAAGGTTTGGCCAGAAAAATACTGGCGACTCGCTCACTGGGGAGGAATAGGCAAAGGGAAGTGATATTTTTGTTTTGTTGCTCAATCCCCCAAAGGGAGGTGATTTTTTTGTTCTGCTCAATCCCCAATGGTCATCCTGGCACTATCCCACACTGCCTGGTGAAAGTTACAAAAAGACAGAGGGGAAGGAAATTGGTGGGGAGGAAAAAAACATTCTTTTAGGTTTCTACACCAGGTGGTGCCAGCTACAGCCCGTTATAAGGGGCCTTTAACATCCATCCGTCCGTCGGCGGCTCAAGTGTTGTCACTCTGAGGCGTACTATCAAGACCGGTTATAACGAAGTCGGTTATAACGTAATAGCGGCTACAGCGAAGCGATCACTATTTCCCATTCCCTTTTGCACTTCGTTAACTCAAGTCGGTTATAACGAAATAGCGGATATAACGAAGCGATTTACGATTCCCGTTGGCTTCGTTATAACCGGTCTCGACAGTAGCTCATTTGGTGGCTCCGACTGAAGCGAGACAAGGCGCTCGCTGCGTGCGCAAAGTCGGGAGTTCCTCCAGCTGTGGGAGGCAGCCGGTGGGGCAAACTCACGTCCAGCTGTTCCTGGGCGATGCTGGCCCCGGCCGTGGGCACCATCCCGACTCCTTGCTTGTGAGTCCTGGGAGCCATGCCCATGGGAACGACAAACACGTGCTGGTCCCCGGCCGTCCCCGGAGCGTGCTGCTGGGAGCCGCCGGACTCTGCCGCATTCTCCAGCACCTGCGTCGGAGATGGTTTTTTGCTCGGCTGCCCTGGCAATCCAAAATGGGCCATTTTCTACGGAACGCCCTGCCGTTCTCATTTTGCCAGTGGCTATACACCTTTGCAAGTGCGGTCTCAGGGCGCCGCCATCTTGCCCAGTGAAGTGCGCTTGGGCGCGGCCATATTTCGATTACGACGCCTTAGCAAGGCTTCCTAATTGGATTAGGACACGTCCAAGCGCCCAGCGAGCAGGATGGCAGCGCCCTGAAGCCGGACTTGCAAACATGTATAGAGGCTCCCATTGGTGCATGGCGAAACCGGGGTGCTAGAGAATCAGTATTCTCTCGGGACGTGGGATGGGGCGTACCGGGCTGGGCAACAAGGTGTGACATACTGGATGTAATACACTATGCTCATGTTCACCTCAAGAACCGTAGTAAAAAAAAGACCGGCTCCTCGCGGAACACTACTGATTTACCTTTTTACGTAGAGAATAAAGATATTTGGAGGTGCATTTTACATGACATATATTTTATTGAAACATACATATTTCAAACGTCAAGAACATTGCTTCTGCCTCCAGGGATGGAACTGGGCAAAACAGCTTTGGAGCAATCTTGGGAGCAGAAAAAAACTGCAGTTTGAAGCAGGCTGGAAGCAGCAAAAACGAGGTCTTGGAGCAAGTTGGGAGCAGCGTATGAGTTTTAAGGACATTAAAATAGAGGCTAAATGTCACCTGGTTTTCAAAACTAAAGGAAATATGGCATGCAGATCACTCCATGTGAACTTAAAGGGAAACTCCGCTTCATTTTCGGTTGTTACCAAGCACTGCGACTCTCTTTAGTGTCATCTAGAGAGACCGAATGTCAAATATTATAGCGTAATGCCGTCTAAAAGATCACTAAACCGGCCGACAAAAACTGAGACGCGCGAAGTCACCAAAATCCGCTAGTTTAGCGGGCGACGTGCGGCGCAGCCAACGTTGTATTTCCGTTGTGGCTGACGTCTGTTGCATACGCAGTTTTTTTCTTGGTATTTTCTTTTCCAGGGAGAGCTTACCGGGCGGCGTTACGGACGCGCTCCACGTTTGTGCAAGCAAAGAGGCGAGCCTACTACAATAGAGATAAGTGGGCGAGACCGACAAAAAAAAAAATGAACGAGAAGAAGAGAAACAAAAAGAGGAAGAGAGAGTTGCACTGGGATGAGTTTCGCTGACACACCTGCCAACCGGTGCCAACCGACTAGCCGCCTGGGTTGCCGCCTACATAGCCTGCTTCGTTGCTGCTTGCGTTGCCTACTCGCCGCCGCGGCTAGGCCCGCCCTCCCTCCTCCCTCCTCGCCCTTCCCCTCGCATACGCGTCTTTCTTGGGTTACCGCTAGTAGATCACGTGACCCCTTGTATTCCACGTGGGTGCGTATGCAACTGACGTTGAGGGTACAATGTTGCCCGGCTGTGCCGAAGTTTCAGTTTCGGTTTGCGATTATGGTAAATAACAAGATCGCACAAAAAATATTTTGCTTTTAATGAGACAAATGGTCTAGGGTTGTTTTGAAGTGCTTTTCACGTTTATATCACCCACTATCTCGAAATTTCCGAAATCAAGCGGAGTTGCCCTTTAACAATAGCTTCGATGAACATTTTATTTGAAACATTTTTCACAAAATTACACGGAAGTTACACAAAACACATGAAGCAAAACTGCACGCCCGTGTGACACGCGATTGAACCGACTTGCAAAGAGGAAAATATAAACAAACCAGTAGAAATAGCTTTCAGCTCGTACCTTGCTCCGTCATACGCCTCGCTGCTTGCTTGCCTTTGTTATGTTCCCAAGTTCTCTGCGCGGGGCGGGCCAACGCGGGCTGTGGGCTTGCAATGGTCACGCAACTACAGCCAATAGCGACCCAAGCAGCACGGATTTTGGCCAAGCAATGGCCAATGTCTGGCAATGGTCTTTTGGCCAGTGGCCAGAGAGTGGCCATCCACTGGCCAATGCTTGGCCGATGGCTGATGGCCAGTGGCCAATGGCCAGATAAAGGCCAGTCTCCGGCCAGTTTCTGGCCACTGTCTGGCCACTTGGCCAAGGACCATTGCCAGCCATTGGCCGATGACTGGCCAACTCTGTGCTGCTTGGGGAGGTGCTCCAACTTAAATACATTTGAGTTTATCGCATTATGCCAAAGCTGTCTGCTCCTCTACTCAGATGAAGTGACCCTGGGACTCCAGAAAAGCTAGCAGCAACGGCGGCAACATTTCGTTTCAGCTTAAGTCCAGACGCAGCCGATGCTACAAGCACGAGCATCTGGCCTTGAACGGCGCTTGCACTGCACGAGAGCACGTGCTTGGCAGGGATACTGGAAGTCCGGAGCTCGCGCTTGTAGCATCATCCTAGTCTGGACTTGAAGCAGAGTGACAGAGAATGGCTCGAAAGAGGTCTGGTACCAGAAGCAGCACAATGAGGGATGCTGTGACAACTGTTTTTAGCTGAAACGAAGTATAACCAGTATAACGTTGGCAACAGCGACCTTCTGATACAGAGCTTCGGATTCGGACCCACTGGAGTCTCCTTTGGGCCGGAAGTTCCGGTGCCAATGTTGCCCACAGAAACTGCGAGACGGCTAATTTCGACGAGGCTCGTTTATAACTTCAATTTGGGCACACCTTGGAGCAATTTCGTTCTTATACTTTTGCATCAGTGAGGCGCATGAAAAGTCATTAGACGCACAATGGCGCAGCAGTTCCCCATCCCTGCTTCCTCCGACGACGAAATCTTGGAACAGCTACTTCACGCGGCTTATGAACGATGCACAAAGCTACCTTTTTTCATGAGGTGAAAACGAGCATAAGTGTGGGTCAATGGGTGCGACATACAGGACATGCCAGGCAGGATGCCGAACGGGAGTCCGCCCTACCTGTGCCTGCTGCACCTGCTGAAGTGTGGGCCGCTGCACCGACCGACTCGAGGGACTCCGTCCAATGGCGCGCCCCGTGGTGGCCTTGCCAGACGGAGGGGTGCCAGCACTGCCAGATGCCCGGCCGCTCGAACCGCCACTAGCCGCCGCCGACTTCCCCGCCGGCGGCGACAGGGGACCCTGCGTCGTGCCACGGGAAACGTCGGGTGGCGCATACTGTGACTCTGCAGTAGCACCGTTCCCTTCTGTCGTCGCGATCGTGCGGGGCACTTCAAAATTGCACCCACCGACAAGTACTTTCACTGAAGAGCTAATGGCACGAAATGACACTGGAGCAACGTTTTATCGGTACACGTGGCTCGCGTGCGACGTCGTCGCGCCGTGCGGGTTGTCATTCCTATTTGTTCTTGCTGAAGAAAGCAAATTCGACGATGCGGAGTGCACGCCGCAGAAGGTACACGCTCAGCAGCGAGGCCACCACAATGACAGCAGACATCACAACAATGCTAGCCATATGTTGCACAGCTATCCTGCTTATCACAAATTTCTCGTGACTCGATCCTCTGCAGGTGCGCATCACTTTGCACCAGTGATGGGGAACCCCCAGTTACCATGTACAAGCCCGACTCATCCCTTGATTTTGCTGCTCTCAGAACATACGCGTGGGGCTCTGAATTCTATGATCCACCAGCTTCTCGGTGAATTAAAGTTTGCCAACGATTCACTTGTCAACTGTACGGGTGCCATGTGTATAATGTGCAAGCAAAAGCTCATGTTGCAGCCCGGGTATCCTGGGTGCAATCCCCTCTCACCCCGGTTCTGATCTGGATGACCGTCGTACCTGCGTGGGGTCGTGTACTCCCCACTGCATGATGCACGTCAGACCCCGGGTCAGAAGTGGCACTGCACCGACTAAATGTATCATCTACCGAGGAAATGCAAGACGCCCATTTGAGCCAACTACCTTCTTGCTGTCTAAACAAACACACGACACTGACATATTTTCCAGTCTAGAAGTTGCACCGTATACACGGCAGTTTTCAGAAAAAAACTAAAGGTATATAAGTCGCACATTCGTACAGGTTCCACCTACATATTTGTACGGTAGGCGCAGCGAAACTGCATTGAAAAGCCCACATATGTGTATTATGATTGCAACATATGCACAGGCGAAAGCAATTTTAAACATTCTCGTCAGCGAATCGTTTTGAGGAATATAACCTTCGAGGCAAACTTCTGTAATTAAAGTGCATATTTATATTTTGAAGAAATGCATAGAAGTGGCACCGTTAGACGAGGCACGCCGAATAAACTTTCCGGAAAAAAACCTGCGACTTTTACGCCGAAAAATGCGTCACTTTCTCCCACCTGCTTGCTTTTCTCGGCAAACATGACGGTGGCCAGACTGAGCAGCTTCTTGAGCATGGCGGTGCACTGGCGTGTCACGGCCTCCTTGGACTCCTCCACGGGGCAGAAGTCGTACTGCAGCACAATCTTCGTCGGGCAGCCCATCTGCAAGACGTTGGGAAACGTCTGCCGACAGCGCACCCCCTTTGTTACCCAGACTTCCGTCGACACACTCACAAGCCGCGCACGATCCACACGAGAGAAACATCCGTGCACCCCCAATAGAAACAAGCCATGTTTTGAAGGAGACCTCTGCACTGCAGTGAGCACGGACAAACAGAGGGCACCCGAAACGAACGGACACGAACAGTTACAGTCAGACAGTCGAGGAAAACCACAGCAAGGGTTGCTGTCGCCGCGACGACAGCAACCCTTGCATCCACTCATCTTTTTTGCCAGCATTTCTACAACGTACCACCAGGATCGCAACAATGGACAGCATCATGTGCCAGCACCTGGGACGCGATCTGTTGCCACTTTGGGAGCACTTTCGAGGCATGGGTGGGATAGGGCGGCAAATGCACCAGTCGAAGAAGCATTCCAGACACCTTACTAGAACTGCCCAGAGCCAATCCCCTCAACCCATTTAGGAAAATCATGCTGCAAAATCCAGGGATCCTGGGCCCAATCCTCAGTCCTGCCCGTTTCTATCTAGACAAGCATCTTACAGGCGTGTGTTTGTGTAATGATCACTGCATAGCAAACGTTAAAGACCCCAGGCTAGCTGCAGTTCTGCACTGGCTAAATATCTCACCTAGAGTAGAGATACCAGACACCTATTGGGGCCAACTAACTTCCCACTGGCTAAACAAACACGCAACGCAGCCTGTCTGGGGGAGAGTCCCACGATACAAAAGCGCCGCCCAGCAGAGCAGTGCCACCCACCATGAGGTAGAGCTCCCCAACCGTCATGAGACCCGCCTCGCTCGCCGTCCAGCCGTTCTTGGCCCTCTCCCTCGCTTCCTGGTCATCTTCCTCCTCCTCCTCCTTCTTCTCCTCCTCTTCGTCCTTCTTCTCCTCTTCCTCCTCCTTCTTGACCTCCTCCTCACCCCCCACCCTGGCCTCCTCCGCGGCCAGTCCCAGCAGCTCGCCGAAAGTCAGCTTCTCAGCGCCTTCTTCCTTGCACTCGGGCAGCAGGTCCTCCGCATTCTCAATGACGGAAGACGGTATCGACATGGCAAAGGTCGTCGGGTTCGGCGACGGGTCCAAGGGCGGGTCAGGGGCCGGGTTTGGGTTGGGAGACGGGTCCGGGGCCTCGACCGCGACGGGGTCAGGCTCCAGCATACTCCTGAGCAGAGTCAGGGACTTTGCCGCGTCGTCCTCTGCCGTCGTGACCTCTCTCTCGGGATCGAGGGGCTTCATGTCCGTGGCATTGTCATCGGCGCCTGGAAAAAGAATGTACGAGGGCGCTTAGTGTTAATTTGGGACGAAATGCTCGAAATGCCCGAGATTCTCGAGGTAAGTTGGACCTGTGTCAACTGCTCCGTCGTCTGCTACTCCCATGTGGCACTTGGCCTCCTTGCCTAAAGGATGAGAGAACCTCAAAAATCCTATGGCCCTGGGGCACTCACCGGCAGTGCTGGCATTTACAAAAGGTCATTTCACGCCCAATTTCGGGGGTTTTCTAACTGGGCTACTAGCAACACAGAAGTTCACCAGAGTACCCACATGGGTTCCCTGAATTCCCGTTTCCTCAGCCGTACCTGCCCCTAAGCAAAGCATTCTCCCAGTCTAAGCCCAATTTTAGCAGATCTAAGCCACCCATCTATGCTTAAAGGGACACTGACAGGGTATTTATGCTTGCAAAGGTTTTCATTTGTACATGACGCATGAGAGCCCAACTAGCCAGAACACAATTTGTGGCTCGATATTCGTTTTCTTTCCACCCTAAAACCGCCAATCGAGAACTGGCCGGTTTGAGTCATGCTCACTCTCTTCTCCATGGTCATGTGGCATTTTCTATGGCTAAGACACAACCACCAAAGATAATCAAAGTTGTGGGTTATCAAAGTCACACACTCAATACTAGAATGGACAAAAACTATGATACCCATTTTTTTTTTTAGCTTCTTAAAAGCTGCAAATATGCTGATTGTAAAAAAAAAAAAAAAAACTTGCACAGTCACGTGACTTCCTGTATCTTTCTCCTCCTCAATATTTCTTCCTCCCCAGTTCAGTTTCGGTTTCAAGCAATTGCATTTTTTTACTTTATTAAAAATATATCTGACACTGTAGCAAAATAATGATTGGATAGTCTTCTGACACCCAAAAAAAATCACCAGGCAAAAAATTAAAAAAACTTTTGGGCGGGTGTTAGTGTCCCTTCAACTATAGGCCACATGCTCCCATTGTTGACAAGCTCATAGGCTCCTGAACTGATTTACTGCATCAATGCCGCGACCGGAAACATTGTGTCCGAGGATGGACGGACGGATCCTAACGGCTGTAACCTTTATAGAGGACGGTAGCTTGCACCGCCTAGCCTGGGAATGGTGATCACCAATCTCGCTCGATGGGGTTTCGAAAAGGATCTATCGGACATCGAAGAGGCATCCTCACTCGCAGACATGTTTCCCACGTGGGAGGGGTTGCCGTCGTGCTGCTGAACTTCGGTGGCCGCCTGCTTGGCACTTTTCGACTGCTTCGTCTTGCGGCACTTGACGCCGTCGGCGACTGCCTTCTTGCGGTGGCACTCGAAGCTTACGTTGGGGCTGGACGCCACAGCAGTGATGCTCACGGGAGACACGGGCCCCACCGGCCAAACGCGGAGCTCCCAGGCGGGCTCGGGCTCGGCGGCGGAGTCCGCACCGCCGGTCGACAGGCTGGCCAGGACCTGCTCTTTCTGCATTTGAGACATTCACCGTCTGCTCAGTCACTCGGTAACCGTGGGACATGAAGTTAAATCTTTTACATATTGCTGCGCTTACATATTACTGTGCCTACATATTACTGGGCCTATATATTACTGTGCCTATATATTACTGTGCCTACCTGTTACTGCACCCACATGTTACTGTGCTTACATATCACTGTGCTATAATAGTACTATGTACAGACAGCAGCAGAAGTTTGCGGGGCACAGGAGCGCCAGACAAAATGACTGGCTGCGCCTTCTGATGGCTCGTTACCGCTCTCAAGACTCGCACTGTGCACATGTGCCTCCTTTCGTGTTCGCAGACGTGTTTCTTTCTCGCTCGCTTCCGTCCGACATGCACGAGATACAAGGGACTGGTGCAAGGTGCCGCGTAATGTTATCTGGAGCATGCATGCTCCATCTCCCATCAGGATGTCTTGGGCAGATGCATGGCATGAAGACACACAAAGCGGCACCTCATGCCAGTCCTGGTTATCTCGTGTGCACCGGAGGGAAGAGAGTGAAAAAACACGACTCCAAACGAAAAAGGAGGCACATTTTCAAGGCGCAAGTCTTGAGAGCGGCCGAGCGCCGTCGAGAGGCACAGCCAGTCGTTCCGGCTGACGCTCCTGTGCCCCGCAAACTTTTGCTGCCAACTGTATATTTGATCTCTCAAATACTGCAAACCTTTGCATTAGTAAAATGCAATACCTCGAAATGTTTACACACCCCACTGCCACCAATATGCCAGTCAAAATGGTCCTACCCTTGTGTATTTATTCACGAGCAAACTTTCTTCTCAGATTCCATGTTATGCCATAACACTCATTGAATAGGTATTTGCAAGCAAATACTTCGGAGAAAAGCAGCGGCTGGAACACTTCAAACCATAGACGAGAAAAATTGACCGAGTACCGTATTTACTCGCATAATGAACTCACATAATGAATGCACCCCCCACAACAGGTACCAATAAATGGTCTTCTTTTTTTCCCCTCGCATACAGAACGAATCTCCAATTTTCGGCTCTGAGAGTCTCAACTTGTATCCAACTTAGCTAGCCACCAAGCCAATTTTCTTTTGCCACCAAGCGGCCAGGCCAAGTCAAGCCAAGCCAAGCTGCTCTCGTAATGGCTGCAAGTGAGTAGTTGCGGAAGTGATCAACCGTGAAACCGAGCGGCATGCACACTCAGGAGTGGAACTCATGAAATGAACTTGGGAGCAGCCACGGGAGCCACTGAAACAGCTGTTTTGCAGCAGATTGGGAGCAGCTAAAACTACATTCTCGAGCCGGCTAGGAGCAGCCCAGATCAGTTTTCATTGCACTTCAGCTTGTGTCTTAGACAAGCACGGGGGCAATTTTAATTGTGCTTAGCAGCACAGATGAACATCAGTGGTTAGGGACCTTAGGTAGATGCGATAACAGTGTAACAGATGCGAAAACTTGAAACTTTGTGAGCCTTAATGAGAACCAAAAAGAAAGTACCATATGTTTCTGAAGAGAGTGTCCTTGACATTTTCTGAGTGGCTTTCAGTTGCTCAAAATGGAAACCAGCACCGCTTATCGCGCAACCCACACGTGCTCGACATAGTAATTATATGTGCGAACCACGTAACGTGCGTAAGCAACGGACGTGCAGTTGCGTGGACGAACAGGGAAACAAATTTCGAGTTTATCCTATTGTGCAACTCAATATCGAAGCAGCAGACTAGACTATGATTAAAGGAGTTATTGTATTCAAACGATAAGCGGGAGCAAGGTTAAAATACGCCGAGCAGATCTACCGCTCGCCTGAAAGCTGCTGGCTGGCAAAGCTTTGGGATGGGACCACGTTTCTGTTCTATCGATTCACGATATATCTTGCGGGAATACGGTTCCAACTTCTAACAATGAAGAACTAAAAGGAAAGTTTTGCTCATTTGTTTTCAACTGACTGGCGTCCGGATCCTGGGCCGCACAGCCTCAGGCAACCTCACGATTAACGACTCGATCTCACGTCGGCCGACTTGCTTAACCGCTTATGGTTGAAGAATAACAATCTAGTCGCAGGTGTTGCACCGTTTGGAATCCGACCCCCGAGTTTTTTCGCCCGCTTTTGACTCGGAATACACAGGAAGAATAAAAAAAAAAGGATTGCAAGGACAACCTAGCTAAACGCGCTCATTGTTGCCAATCGAGTCGATAAAAACCGAAACCAAGACAAAATGCAATTTGTTTTGGCGCATGCTTTGCGATTTGGTGCATAATGGCGCGAGGTATTGGCTGTGGCGCAGTTTCTGCAACATGGCGCAGGACGGCGCAGACAAATGCGTCTGGCGAAAAATGGCGCAAATGGCGCAGCCGTTCCACCCCTGACACTTGACGAAGCTTGGGTTGAGGAATTGTCCAGCCCCGGACATTCTTCGCCCTATCGGATGCATTAATGTCAACAAACACGCCGTCGTCTGTGGTCCGCTTTTGGACAGTGAAATCGTGAAAGTGGTTAGGCCTGAGAACAGTTGCGTTGCTCTCCGTGCTGAGTGAGCTTCGTAGGGCACTTTTCCTTCGGCAAAAGGCAAGCCGAAAGCGCCCAAAAAGGTTTGCAATTTAGAAAGTACTATAATCACCGTAGCGCGTCAGATTGGCACCTAATGACATTTGCACGAAATGTGTAAATGCAAAAAGTTTACCCCGCATAATGGACGCTCCACGTAATTAACGCTCGGGGAGAAAAGATGATTCATTATGCGAGTAAATACGGTAGTACAGATTTCTAGACAATGGCCAGAGTGATCCACTTGACATTGGAAAAATTAGCAAAGCCGAGGCAAGCCAATACGGCTTTCCTTGTCCTCGTCCTTCAAATGACGTTAAGTTCAATCTTCAATGATACAGTCAACAATTTTGATAACAAAGAATTAATTATTGAGCGTTAAATGGAAAAGAAATCTGTGCGACACTGTTGGTACAACGCTCACATTGGACTCCGCGATTCTGGAAGAAGTCACTCTAGAGTAAGCCAGCCAGCCGCTCCTTGGCAAAGTGGGACCACCTTTTGCGCCGGACACTGTCACAAAAAATCGCCAATAGGGCCTTCTCAAGCGTTCATCGACCAACATCAGTGGTCACCATTGGACACGAGGACTCCGTCAGCATTAGGCGTGGACTCGGCTTGGCTCGTGTCGAAAAAAAGTTTGATCAGAGATTCGACCAGAGGAAAACTGGCGACCCCCGCACCAGGGGAAGAAGGAGGGAGTGATGTTCTTAGTTTTTTTTTGCCCGATCCCCCAAAGGTATGTTTCGTGATAGTTAGAGAAATGCACTGGATTGGAATGGGAAAGGAAAATTCAGGTTTCCTGTTTATAATCCAATTAAAGCAAAGGGAAAAGCAAGCTGGGCAAGAATGACAATAATAATCCCTGGAGAAGAGGAACAAGGGAACAAGGTTTCTTGTTACCGTTTTTAGGCTAGGTGGCACAAGCTACCACCCGTTACAAGGGGTGCAGCCGTTATCATCCATCCATACATCCTTGGGCACAAAGCGTGTGACTGGATCAGAGTTCTCGTCGAACGCCAATGTAGCACTCGTTTTCAACACGAGTCGAGCCAGGTTCACACGGAATCCTAGTGTCCAAGACGTGCTCAAAGTGCGTACCCAAACAATGGCATGCTCGAATAATTGGCGCGGCAGCCACTAGATGGTGTGCAGTTTCGAGAAGGGTCTATCGAGCAACGTTTGCAAGCCGAGATGGCCGCACGTGTACCTGTCTGGCCCTGATGGGTCGCCACCTGCCCTGCAGGTGCTCGAGCACGTTGGAGAGCCTCCGCTGCAGGCTGGCCTTGGTCCGCACGCGGGGGTTCTGTGCCAGGGACTGGACGTGCACCCAGGCACTGTTGTTCCTGGGGCGGAACTCCATGCACACCTCCACTGGAAGCTTCCTGGGCTCTTCCTCCTTCGCGTCTGCGCACGCACACACCCCGGTCAACCACCCGCAAGTGTCTTCGAAACAGTGCCACTAAGTAGGGTTACCACCTTTCCTCAAGGAAAAAACGGGCTATTCCAGCGGGAAGGGACAGGGGCATAGTTATGCGAGATTGAACTGGTAAAAAGGAAGACACAGTTTTGACAGTCTTAATTGATGCAGATTTACCGTAGTTTATGTTGACACGAGTTTCCCAAAGTGGAATCTATTGACATAGATCTATTAATAAATCATAGCACATGTAACTACACAAATACAAATATCATATATAGATGTCAGGGTTGGGCAGTGTCGCGATACAAATGTATCGCGATACTGCCCTACAAGCAGATTTCGAGCGTAAATCTATTATTTTTTAAAAATTGCTGGTTTTGGATGTTTCCGTAGTGAATGCGTTATAGACTACAAGCCTCGGCACGAGCCTCTGGCTTGGAAGTTTATGGTCACTCTTCAATGCGTTTAACACAAACATGTTTTGATAGCTTGCGAATCCTGAATTACGAAAGGATTGTGACCTCGAATTCAAAGTGATGTCTTGCCTGCGATCCTCAGATCTTCTTTGGTAAATTGCACTCTCTACATGCTACGCTGAATCGTAAACGCGCCAACTTTTTACCCTAGTGACGACTTCTTTGCTGCTAAATAAACAATTTCAGGGGCTAGGACATTCTGTACGGAATGAGCTCAAAGGCCGACGACCAGACTCGAGATTCTGCAAGGCAGAAGATCCTCCTCCCCATGGGGGAGGAGGAAACAGGCAACGGTGGACAAAGTAGAAGGAGGGAGAGGAGGAAGTGGGGGAAAAGTGGGAAGCGCAATCTGGTCTTCGGTCTTTAGAAAGAGACAATGCATATGCCTACATACCCGATAACGTTGATGGTCTACACTCCGTCTCACCCTACGATGGACTAGGGCCCGAAGGCTGGCGGGCGGAGCACTACCTTAGAAAAAGCATCTGCATTGCGAAAGAGTGCGCAAGAGAAATCCCGATACGCAAAATACGAACAGCACTACTCTTGCGCATATGGTTCTCTGATGTGATAGTACTCTATTTTATATATGTGAAGTAAAGGTACATAGTATTCAGTTTCATAAACATTCATGCCATATTTCGTAAACATGTCAACTCTTTAGAGAAGTTAGAGGATGCGCAGGCAACACTGACATAAAGTTGTTTCGCCTAAGCCATAACAATAAATCCAATCTAATCTTTGTGTACGTAAGGTAAAACGTACCCGGACCTGTATCTCCCTTCCGCACCTGGTTCGTACATATGCTCCCGTGTCGAACACTCGATCCGACTCGCCTTCATTTATTAATGGTCACTGGTTCTGATCCAGTGTTCTCTTCACCGCATCGCTTCCAGATGGTATTTAATCATGTCAGTAGTCTTCAGTAGAAGCAAGCAGACGGAGCCGCCGCGAGGGCTCGATAGCAGACGAAAAACTCGCCTCGCATGATGCATCTTCACGCGCTGATACGTACGACGGAGCAAATATATACCACGCGATTTCTAACAGGCTCGTGATTGGCCTGTAGCATTGGGCTTTAGTACATCGTAGGAGGGTGAGACAGAGTATAGACTATAATTATAAATGCCTCCCCCCCGCCCCTCCCACCCTCACCAGCCACCTCAGTGGATCCAAGGCAAAGCACTGGCCTACGGTGGCCGGTTCAAATCCCGGCCAAGGTGCCCGCAATCTGACAAAGGCTTATTGCGGAAAAGGCGTTGTGTCACCGAGCTTTCGGTTGCATGTGAAGAGATCCCCAGGTGGTTCATATTAATCCTCAGTCCTCCGCTGGGGCGTGCCAGATGCCCATCGTAGGTTTGGCACATGAAACCCTCAAATTTTACTTTTGCCCTCCCTCCTCCAAGAAAAAGAAAATTGCACTTGGGTAGTTGGAAAAAAATGGTAAATGACAGCCGGTTTTAAATACAGACTGGCAACCAGCCTTTTATCCAGAAAAAACTGACCGTGCCAGTCAAAAATCGGGCCGGTGGCAATCCTACCACTAAGGCAGCAGTTCTCAAACATCTCAATCTTGAGGAACACCACTTTCTCTATATTGAGAGCCAGGAAACGCCTCCAGGTTTCAGCACTGTTGCAGCAGAATAGTTCAGAATCCTATGGGCTACATACACAATAAATAGGCGGTTGTTGGTACTTCAATCTGTGTCAGTGATGGCTCAGATCTTCCTAAGTAGGTAAAATATTTTACTTGGGGAGGGGGATGATCTAAGAAGGAACCTCTAAGGCAGAATTATTGGGTTCTTAGGAACACAATTTAGGAACTCATGCACTAAGGTACAATTTGACGAGTCATCCAATAATTTTCTATATGTTCCCTCAAAACATTACACTGCTCCTAAACACTATGATCATCAAGCATTTCATGACAACTTCACATATCCTGAAAGAATCATTTCACCAACGGAAGTACAAACAAACCTAGAGACGGTATCTCTGAGCTTCACTGAATTCGAACGTGACGAAACCCAGTTTGGCTTGTTCAACAGTCACTGTCAACTACCGGGTGAAACAAGGAGACGGTAGGCTGTTTAAATCGACCGGAAAATTCGGTTTCTTAACCTATCGCGCTACGACTTTGTGCAGCGTTGCCCACAGATGGTGCATTTTTTTTTGTAAAATTTGCAAAGAGCGAACTTACCTGAGGAAAAAGTAAAGAAAGAAAAAGGCTTAGCTCCTATGGAAACGCAGCGACGCCACCGGTCTGCAAACAACACGACGCCGTTTCGCACGGGAGACAAGAGATGGCGCAAGCAGTCATTACGCCAACTGCCGCCAACGAACGAGCAGACGACACAGAGAGCCGGCCCTTTTGCAGACAAGGAACTGCAGTTCCTTGCTGTTACCGCGCCTGTCTTTTTTGTTTCTGCTACTGTCGCCGCCTGCGGAACGCGCGCCGCTTTTGAGTCGAAAAGATTGTCTGCTAAAAAGGCCTGCTCTCGGCGCCGTATGCTCGTTCGTTGCCGGCGTTTGGTGCGCCATCTCTTGTCTCCCGTGCGAAACGGTGTCGTGTTGTCTGAAGACCGGTGGCGTCGCTGCGTTTCCATAGGAGCTAAGCCTTTTTCTTTCTTTACTTTTTCCTCAGGTAAGTTCGCTCTTTGCAAATTTTACAAAAAAAAAATGCACCATCTGTGGGCAACGCTGCACAAAGTCGTAGCGCGATAGGTTAAGAAACCAAATTTTCCGGTCGATTTAAAGAGCCTACCGTCTCCTTGTTTCACCCGGTAGTAGATGCTCTGCCTTGAGCCTGCACTTGTTGCCTTCTGCCGGGCTTTGGCTGTGCGTGCGACACAGCGCCATCAAAGGCAGAAAACTCGCGCTCAAGGCAAAGCACCTACTGGCTTCTTAACCTGCCACCGACTGCAGGCCAAATGCTTATGTGGTATGTGTTGACTGTCTGCCTTAAAGGCACACTCTTTCCTCTACACTTGTTTCTCATCCCACGCCAACGGACTGCGAGTGCAGGGACTGTTTTGTGTATGAAGTGAGCGGCACCTTCCACATTGTTGAGCTTCTTGAGCGCCCGGCACAGAGGTGTCTTGATGCGTATCCGCTTCCCCCGGATCTTCACTACCGTAGATCTGCAACAACAACGGGACGCCATGCAAATTTCTGCGGACCAACGGCCCAAGAAGCAATGTCGCAGCTCCTTACCCAGTTAGAACAAGTTCCGTCAGAAGCTGCCCATTCTTCTCATTTATGCCTGCGAAAGGAAGGCCGTGCGTGAAAGAGAATGGTGTGCCTTGGCAGAGAAAGAGCAGAAACTTTACTCACTCGCACTGTACTTCTTGCGCAGCTCGGCGTAGTTGATGAGGCCGTACAATTCTTGCGTCTGCTTTTTCACATCTGCGGGGCGTAACAATTTCACCGTTCGTTAAAGAGTGCACGAGACTGATCAGAAAAACGAATTTGCACTACTGGCTCTCACAATAGGTAATTATGTGCACAGTGTCTACACAAATCCGTAAGTTGCTTAAACTGTGGGACCTGGGTTCTCCCCGCAGTGGGCGGCAGTGGTTTTGCCACCCACCAGTCTGGCCGACTGCCCATCTCTACTATGTCCAGCCCACCTCTATATTTTGCCTCCGCTGGACAAGACGATGCTGAATTTGAAAGTACATGACGTACCAGATTGTTGTGTTTGGCAGACTTGTCTGGCACTAAGCTATAGGGCCGCATAATCCCTGCAAACGAAATTGCTGCTCTGCGGTACAGGAAGTGCCGTGAACACCAAAAGTTGCAGCAGCCGCCCTCTCCTCCTTCTAAAACCCTGGGAATTGTCAGATGACCAAATTTCAAAAATTTCTGGGGAGACATTTCTGGGGCCTATCAAACTTTTGTCTCCAAAATTCAGCAGACTGCAGTAATGTGATGATTTGCTTTGGTTGGTTCATAGCTAAGGAAAACAGAGCCGAACTAACACCTACACAGGCTCAAAACTTCAGGGCGAGTGCAGCCATCGTGAGTTGATGTGACATTTCTAAACTACTCTTCAGTTGTTTGAGCGATACAGATTAGTGATTTTATGCTTCTTAAAAAGCTTTCAGCATTTCTACTCTGGTGAAAAAGGAAGAGCAGCGGAGCTCTCGCTCCGTTTTTGGCAGTGGCTTTCCAGGCGAGCGATCTGCTCTTCTTTCGCAGGGGAATTTGAAGCGCTCGACGCAGTGAACTTTAGGCGATAAGGGCCTCGCGGCGGTTGCGGAACCATTTGTGCTGCTATGCACATCGCTGCTCGTTCCGTTCCCACTCTTCGTCCACCGAGGAAATGTTGCTGCCACCTATGAGCAATGGCAGCAAGCAGACAATCGGCAAACACAACACTCGGGACAGCTACCGCCGTCTATGAGCGACAACGGCAACCAGGATTTTGTGTTGACATTTCTATGATACCGGTCACGATCCTGGGAAAACTAGCCCTTAGAAGCTCCGCTTCGAGTTTTTTTGCTTTTTTTTAACAGTCTGAGTAGGACACGCGTGTCAAAAAATTAATTTTACGCGAAAATAAAAAAGAAGTTTTAGAACAATATTGAGGGCGCAAGACGCGATTTAGTTGGCAGTCACCTCCTTTCCGCTTGTTTTCTCTCTCGGTATTTCGGGCGCGTGGAGGAGAGGTGGATCGGCTTCGTCTTCACGACCGAGATGGTCATTCCGGAATGACCCATGACGTCATGGACTTTGCGCGCAAAATTTCAAATAAATCTCTTGACGTCAACATTGCTCTAAAAAAAAATTTTAGCATAAAATTTATTTTTTGACAAGTGTGTCCCAACCAGACTGTTTAAAAAGAAAAACAACATTTTCTCTCTTTTCAGGGGCCCTTTAAAGAGTGGTTTATGAACAGAACTGTGAGGCTTCTGCCCCAGCACCATAAGTCTCGGGTGTCGAAGGTGAATGAAACGGGTGACCCATACCTTCTCGTCCCTCTCCGATGTTCATGACCTTGGAGATCTTGTGCCAGGTCCGGTAGTAGAAGTGGCGCACCTGGTCCTTGTTCTTGATGCAGTGTGCCGGCACGCCCTTCTTCTTGCTCCGCTGGGCAATGTATGACTGGATGCTCTCAAAGTCTTTGCCAAACTGGAAACACACATGTCACGGAAAACGGACACCGTTACAAAAAGAATGCTTATTTAGCATGTCATTCACGGGCTAAGTAAACAGCTCAAGACTAATCTATGCGTGCGCTAGAGTCTACATTTATCATATATGGATTCCCAATTTTAAAATTTGATAGCAGATTTCATTCCATCATAGTCAGCACCTTGAGGGCTTAGTCGCTTCTTTTCTGAGTTAGTTGATACATTACTCAATGTAACACCAACAAAGATTGACGTGTGTTTCTTTTGGACACCCTTCATCTACATCGCCTTCGATAGTTGGCACTTTGATCAGATCTGTCAATTAGATCATGTGTTGTAAAACATTGCCGAAAGCATCCAGCTTGTCTTAGAGGCGACTATCTAAGGCAGTTCCGCTGAACCACTCCACTCGCTGCATGCATCGAACATCCACACTGTTTCAGCTAAAATTACGTAATTATCTCCTTCACCCAAACCCAGCCTTCCGTTTGAAGCACATGCTCGAAATCTGGGCCGCGACCCCCAAATGAAAACACAAGTTATAAAAAGTGACTTCACCTCACAGACAGCCTCGAAGAAGGAGCTCTTATCATCTGCGCTCCACTGCTCCCATGTGCGACGGGTCTTGCCCACGTCTCCTGCTTGTTTGGACACTGCGAGGGAAACGAGCTCTCGTTGTAATGCATTTCGACGGCTCCCTCTTCAGAAGGCTCCATCCAAGTCAAAAGAAAAGACACGAAGAAACGCCAGAGCGCTTAAGATTATCGAACCAAGCACGCCGATTTTATTGCATAACTCGCTCGCGTCATCCCAGAAGGGTCGTTGGAACGCCTTCACCTGCAGTGCGAACAAACCGTGTGCTTTCACTCTTCCGTTTTTTTTTTTTCTTCTTCTTCTTCAAGTCTACGTTAAGTCTAACAGCGCAATCGCATCCGATCGGTCATAGTTGCGGCACACACGCTTTAAAAAGACCGACGACATCCATGTTGGAGTGAGCTCAACTGACAGCAATCTGCTGAGCGCGCGAAACATCCGGCACGCACGGTTCTCACCAGAAATCTTGACTTTTTTCGATGTTCACTGGTTGAAAGGAATACAACAGTGGAATTAACCTACCGGTGGCTTTCTTGCCGGCCGCTGCGCCGCCGGCCGCGGCCGCGCCGGTCGCCGAGACCGGTGGCGGCGGGCTGACATCCTTGCGCGGCCTCTTGAGCACACGCAGGCTGGACCGTTGAGCCGGCATTGCATTTTTGGCCTCTTGCTGGAGTTTCTCCGGGCCGTCGTCCGAACCCTGCACTCCGCACGGAGACGTAACGCGCGGTGCATTCTGAGAGCGGGTCCGAGTAAGCTGCTGCGTCGCCGTAGTCGTCGTCGCTACCTCGCTGCACCGGACGGGAGTTGGAGCTTCCCCGGCAACGTCTCGTTGGACCTCCGATCTGCAAAAGCGGCCAAAGAACGGGCACGTGCACGCTCACACTGAACGCCGGGGATCAATGCGAAACACTGCCGTAAATAATGCACCGACGAAAATTCCCCGGAAGAGAGAGGTAAACGGATCGTGCTGTCGGAAGTAAGATGGCTACCGCCGCCGATCGTTTTCAAACATCGGACCCCAGCCAGCGACGGGTCGGTCCATCTCTCATTGGGAAAGCGGCTCGGAGTGCCTCGCCTCGAAGCTGGCACGCTCGTCCGACGCTGTCAGAGGCCCATAGCCCCGCCAGCCGTGCTCGCCACGCGTGGGCCTCGCAGCGACGCGAGGCAAAACACGACGAAAAAACGAGCCCACGAACATGGCGACAACGACGGATCACCCCTCCACAGTAGGCTTAGGGAAGGAGATCGGAAGCTTACATGTCTTCTGGCCGTTTCTCGTCCTGTGCAGAGCATGATCCGAGCCTTCTGCGCTTGACCATCGAACCGGCGACGTGGGCTACGATCCCGGCATCTTGAACTCGGCAGTATCCAAGCGCCGATGCGGAGACTCGACGCCTCGCACCAAACGTCAGATGCAGTGCGCTGGCACCTCTCGCATGACGATCGCCCGCGGTTTGTTGTGATACCAGCCAGCTATTAAAAGCTCCGACTGCTTTGCGTAAGACGAGAAGAAAACGGCTGAGGAATTGTAACTGCACGAGGCAACGTCGCCTAACTATCGCTCGGCCGCAGCGAAGAGCGCCAATTCGGCTATTCGAGGTCCGAAATGCCAACCCCCCCCGATAGCTGGAATGGGGGCTTTTTGTGGTGCGCCCTGACATATCTTGTATGCATGAGCTGTGTCATAAAGAGAAAAAAAGAAATCTGCGAACGCTTATGTTCACTCGCCGGATTTTGTATTTCGATCGGATGTGTTTGTTTTTGTAAAAAGCTACGCGCCCCTGACTCTGAACGCGGTGAAAACCGCGTGAGGACGTTTTTAACTGCTGAGAATATTCCGTACATCGTTGTGAGTTCACTGCGTGAATGCCAAAAACAATTATCTAATTATTACTGTATTCCTATGAAAATGTCCAATTGTGTTTTAATTAAGTTATGCAAAATAATTTAATCTCTGTTTGCTGAGAGTTTGCTAAAGGCCTCGACCAATAAATTTCTCGCTTATTTCGATCTGTACATATGGTCTATCGATATGTATCCTATTTATTCTACCGAAGTAATATGTTATTTCGATAAGATGCACATCGTCGTTTATATACATATATACGTCGCAGTGTGCATACTTCGTCATATTTGTTTCCGCGATCATATTTATTATATCGTTATATTTTTGCAGCACGTATTATTTGGTGTGCCGATATAAAGGATATATATTTACCCCCAGTTGACAAACAATTCAGCCTAGTTGAAAAGTCTTCGCACTGATAACTATAAGGCGCATAAGCTATTAACGAGGCAAATAATTGAGTTGTATGGCTTTCGTAACAAGCTCATAAGTGGATTATAACAAAAAAAAACAATATCGGTTTGCTCTACCAGTTTTATTTATTCGATTAACTCATGCCGTCATAAGGCAAACCACTAATTAAACTTATTAACTGATATGTATATTCACCCGCAAAATGTGAATTTAAGGCGGGAATGAGTGCGATATTGCAGCATTGGGCTATCAAAAGGTGTGGCCCGCTTGTTGCGCTCACAGCCAGCTGACGGCATTTAGCGCTCGCGTTTGAAACCAGAACTTGCGCCATCGGAACCGATGTTCACTTCCTCTGCTTCCTGTCTCGAACCAGTTTTTACTTTTATTTTTCTTCTGTAGAACTACCAATTATTATAAATATATAAACATAATTAAAATATATTTATTTTATTTTGTTTGAAATATGCTGGTGCTCAAACGAGATCGAGAAATTAGAGTATGATATTTTGGCACAGTCGGCCGTTTGTCGGCTAGCTGGTTGGCTAGGCAGGAGGCTATGGCTAGGCAGCCTTGTAAACAAAATGGCGGGATTCACATTTGGGTCCTCTTTTCAGGCTCCGACAGCAGCGACAACTCAAAGTTTTGGAGCTTTCGGTGCTCCTGCGGCGACTCAACGTACGTAGATCATGGGAACATGCCCCTAAAATTGCCCTAAAAGTTGCAGAATTATCTTATTCTCGCGGCTCCGGGGAGGCCCGAGTTAACATGGCACATGCTCTCTCCGTTGTAGCTGCTGCGTCCACGTTCAGCTTTGGTGCGCCGGCGAAGACCACCGGCTTCAGTTTCGCCGGATTCGGTGCTCCGTCAACCAGCACGACGGCGCCGACCTTTGGAACAACTGGGACCACGGGTGAGGACCTGGTTGAATATCGGGAGAGTCGCGAGCTACCGGGAGCTCCACTTGTTGAGCCCATCAAAGCCAGGGAGCCGATGCGCTAGATTGTTGCAAGGAAAGCTCCTCGCACCCTCTCCACTTTACCAGATTGAACCTGGAGAGAAGATGAGTGGAGAGGAGGGAACCGCCAATCGTGGAGTGTAGAGAGATTTGCGGGAGTGGCGTGCCCTGCCTTTGAATGGCCATTTATCTCCTGCTTGTAATTTTTTTTTTTTTTTTTTTTTTTTTTTAATGATGGGAGAGGTTTTGTAGTACCGGGAGGCTGTCTACTAAGTCTGTTGTTTTGGCGCATTTTTTCTTTATCCCGTTTGCGTAGAGAAAGTTTTAGAAGTACAGTTGAGCTGACCACTCGGTTGGTAAAGTTGCGCGACAAAAATTGAGAAGCATTCCTCGGCTCTGGTTAACCTTATTGAATGCACTACGATTCAGGAAAAATTGGTCGCACAAACAATCTGGCCAGGTGCCAACATTTCAGAAACAGTAGAGACACTTCACTCTGTTCAACACCAGTATAAATGTGAAAACATATACCCACAGGATTGAAGTGAATGTGCAAAGCCAGCATGCATGCCAAAATGAAGGCCAACCCGGAGTACATGCTTCAGTAGGTACGCAATGCTGTATTATCTGACTATATGTTGAAATCAAACATTGTTGGGTCATATCACTGGCACTGGTAGGGGAGGGGAGGAGGGGAGTGTAAATTGGATCACTGAAATACCCTATGGGTAGAAAAAAAACGAGAAAAAAGTCAAAGTACAGGCTAGCTGGTGGAAGATTTCACCCTATTGGTGAAATCTTGAGCTCATTATGTGCGGACTCAATTTTTCTGGCTGATTGTAGAGTGAGCCCCTCAATTCATGACACCCTATATAATTAATGTATGTGCAATATATCTCGAGTTGCATTGAGAATGGGCAAAGGAATGAGGAGGCGGAGATGATGTTATAAAAAAAGCCCTGCCGTTGAGACTGGCATCGTCCTAGCCATATATGCAAACACTGTTATGGCCACTGCTTTGAAAAAGATGAAGTGAAGCAGACAGAGCTGAAGAGGAAGACAAAGAGAACATGTTGAATGATGGTTGGCACTGACTCAGCCACTTAGGAAAAAATCAGCTAGAAAGAGAAAGATGGTAGTTTGCAGCGTATCATGAGGAAGGATATCAGAAAGAGTGGCATCAGGAGGGGCGTTCAACCTAAACCACGTAGGACTTGATTCATTTTGTAGACAGCAATGTTTTTCCCAATTTCTTGGTCACTGAACGGGTCCACTTTGTCAGCTCTGGAGTTACTAACTAAGGTATGCTTAGAGTATTGGCACTTCATTTCCCGATGTTTGTGTGATGGCGCCGCCATTTTGGCGCTGAGAGCAGGACGGACGTCTTGCTTTGTTGCAAACTGTTTTGACATTTCTGAAGGATGCAAAAGAATTTCCTGCAATTTCAGATGAACTGGTGACAATAATTGTAAACACTAATGCGGCTGGAGTGTCATTGCTCTGAAGGGTAGGTTACTTACTGGCTCCAGTCAACTCCTCTGTTTTCACTGTCGGAATCAATGGCGCGCATTTCAGGGTTCAGCTTTGGCTCGACTGCCCCCGCAACCACTGCCGGCACGGGATTCGGATTTGGCTTCGGCCAGCCTGCTAGCACGGCGGCGGCGGGCACCGGATTCAGCTTCGGCCAGCCCACAGCTGCCACCACCGCCACGACCGGCACACCCGGCTTTGCCTTTGGCCAGCCTGCCGGCACCGGATTTGGCTTTGGTGCGCAGACGACTTCAACCGCACCGACCTTCAACTTTAGCGGAGGCCTTGGCACGGCATCGAGCGCTCCGGGGTTCTCCTTTGGTACGGCGGCACCTATCACATCAACCGGTAGCACTGGCTTTAATTTCGGAGGTAAGAGCATTGCTGGTTGTGCTGTCATTTTTGTCTCAACTGGGGTGTGCCTCTTATAGAATGGATCTTTTTTTTCGAGTAACAAGCGCCATTGGGGGGTTTGTCTGCGGACTACAAGTGAAGGGCATGCCTCCACCCGTCAATACACATTGGCACCAGGCCGTTGTAACGGTTTTAACGCAATAACGTTAAGGAGCTCGTGTCGCAGAAAATTTAACGTCAGCACCGGTGGTGGTGTTGGCGTCGGTAAGACGGGAAAATCCTGATTGGACGATAGGGTTAGGACGTCACATCCACATGGCCTCGCGCAAGCATTTCAAACAACCCACAATACTCACGTGAAACCTGACGTGACGCGTGAGCCCACGCCCCTTCGGTTGCGAGACAGACAGGCTACCGAATAGGCCACGCAGACATGCTTGCACGGTTTGGGAACAAGCGGGGGTTTATGTTTAGCTATCACACTCCACTCTTAAAGGCTCCTGTAATTTTCATTGTTTTCTATGCCCCAAACTACCAATGCTAAAAGAAACTATTGTAAGAAAGACGAAATCTGCAAAAAAAATAGGCACTGACAATGTTGGATTTTTTTCTTCCGTTTTTCTTTATAAATTAGCTTTTCTAAGCAAATTTTTTTATTTGTTTTTACCCTGTTCATTTATTCTCAACTGGATTAAGTGTGCTATGCTTACACGGAAGCTGCGGCACCTTATGTTTCATTCCTTTAAGTGCCTCACCTTGATTACATGCATCATCACAAAGACCCCGCCGGCATACCTTCCCAGGTTTCGGCACGGGAACCAGCACGACCCAGAGTTCCCTCTTTGGCGGAGGGTCGCTCTTTTCGACTGGGTTCGGGACCTCCGCGGGCACCGCACCTGCCTTCGGAGCTGCCGGCGCCGCCGCCCAAGCTGGTGGCGCCGGGGCGGCGGGCAACGTTGCCAACCTGGCAGCTGCGCTGTCCCTGCCCACGGTGTTTAACGACGAGCGTGACGCCATCTTGGCCAAGTGGAACCAGCTGCAGGCTTTCTGGGGCACGGGCAAGGGCTACTTCTCCGGTCAGGCGCCGCCGGTCACCTTTACGCCGGACAACCCCTTCTGCTGCTTCAAGGTAGGTGCGTTTCAGACATACAGCGCAATGCTGAGATGGTGCCAAGTGAGTGCTGCATTATTGCTAGTGCCAGCACTGAGTAAACTTTGCGTTCTGTGTGGAAACAGGATATGGCTAAGTCTCAGGCAGCGGATTTCTAGTCCATCGCCTTAACAACTCAGCCACGACTGCGGGACGAGTAGGGGGCTCTGAGATGTGGTAGTAACTCAAGAGCTGGGGATGTCATGGATGAAACGTTGCATGTAGCCGCTCAACGTCTATACAGGAGAGGGCGCTGCGGTCAAATGCGTATATAATCGCGTTAAATTTGCATGCATTGGCTCAACGTTTATGGACGAGAGGGTGCTGCGGTCAAATGCTCAAATGCGTATATAACCACATTCCATACCACACACTCTCTTTCTGACATGGATGAAAACGAACGAAAGGCTCGGCATGCTGCGGCTCAGCGTCTACGCAGACAAGCACCAGCAGAGCTTCGCCCCAATCAACATCATTCACCACGTGAAGATGTGGTCAATTTTTTTTTACAGCTTCGAAGCGTCAGCGACAGACATGAGCTCGCTCGGGTTTACGGTCGTTTTTCAGTTGCCGCCATCGTGGAGCATGAAACTACGTCCACGCTTTTCGTTACGCATATGTTAGCAGCGAACAGAAGTTTATTTTGCGCGACAGTAAAATGTTTTTTAACAAGTGCCGCATGCAGGAAAACAACTTGTGTATCTTCAATGTGGCCTTGCTAGATAAGTGCTGAAAAATGGTTATTTTCTGGATTTTATTTATTGCTTTTTAGCATTTATACATTGTGTCGTCACCCACCCTTCTCTCTTGACGAATTTCACACACGGGGAGGGTGGGCATTAAGTCGGGATATTAAGGTAGTGCAAAGTCAGCGCTGTGCTGTACGTATCTACGGACCTTAATCCTCCTGACATACTGTCGCAACCGTTTATAAGGAAGTCGGTTGTAATGACATAGCGGCTATAGCGAAGCGAGCACTATTTCCCATTCTGTTTGCACTTTTTCAATGTGTTTGGGTATGTTTTTAGGGAAGGAAATTGAACAGCTCCCACGGATATAGCAAATAAAAATTTTCTGATATTTAAAAAAGAAATTAAAATTTTGAAAGTCGCAGATTGCTGTACTTTGCTACCCGCGGTCGAGCAGCCACCCAGAACAAGCCGCAGACGTGCTGCAAAGGCCGCCGGCGGCAACCTTTGCATCGTCGTCTGCTCCCCTCCCGTTATCTGGGAAGCGGCTTTTCTGCATTGCACGCTTTTTCATTTTTCTTTCATTTTTTTTTTATTATTATTTTTGTGTTTTGTCGTTTATGCTGTGTGGAGGTTCTGGCCAGGCGTGCGTATAAGCGTGGCGGTGTTTGCGGTCTCTGCCAACTATGCTCTACTGTATGTAGTGGGTCTTGGATGCTCCATTTGGTAAACTCCCGTTTGTCGCGGCCTTCGGCATTAGCAGCGGCGCCAGGAAATTTAAACTCAAACTTAATTTAACATATTTTTGTATATCAAATTATTGGTATATCAAAGTATGTTACGATTCCCTTTGAATTCGATGTATCCGGGTTCGACTGTATTAGAATTTTGAAAACTAAGCTCTGCTCTATACTGTTCTTTAACAAGTTTATGTGGAGTTTGAGGTACCAAATCCAACACTCAAAAGAGTGTCAGCGATCTTACCTGGAACCGGCTTCAGCCTCCGAACCAATCTGAACCAATCTCGCATATCTGAGTGTCATGCGGTCCTTTAAATGGCTCACCACACACTGGTGTCTCCTTGGGCTCGCAGCTTTCGGCCAATTTTCCATCTTAGCTTCAATATGGCAGGCTCTAGGCTGCCTCACTTCTCTATTTATAGCGCGGAAAATTTTAATTTTCCGACTTCAAAGAATTATTATAGCGGATTTGGAAGGCGTGCAACAAGATCCTAATTGGAAGGTTTTAGATAAGGCGAATACCTAAAAAGTTAGTGAGTGGATTTTAGGTCATTAGTTCGCTAAGTATCGCTTATCATTTGTACACTGGCATCCGCTGCAGTCGACAACATTATTCCGAAGAAATCATTTCTCTACTTTGTGCCCTTTATTTACTCTCACTCGGTCTTTGGTGCAATAACCTGTATATTTTGTGTTGAAAACATTAGGGCAATGCAGATCGAAATTTTCTGCACGGAATTGGCCACCTCACTATTACGCTTTTGAAAAATATAACTGCCCATTGGGCCGATGTGAAGATTTTTTGGGGTGAGTAGTTACACTCTACTTTGGGCATTTAGAGACCGTAAAACAGCCGTGGTTGTTTCCTCTCCGTAGCCGGGCTGTCGTTCCTTCCCAAGTGTCATAGGTCCAGGCGGGAATGGTGACGTGTCCCCGGCGCCTCCATCTCCAACGGCGCAGTCTCTGACGGCGTTGACTCGCAGGCGATCGGCTACAGCGCACTGCCAACGTCCAAGCCCGAGGACGGCCTGGTGGCCCTGGTGTTTGAGAAGCGACTGGAGGACGTGCAGCCCGTGCAGACGCAGCTGGTCGAGGGGCTCCATCGAGTGCTGGGCAGCAAGCCCACCCTCTCCGTCTGCGTGGATGGGCTCAAGAGCCTCTCCCCAGACAAGTGGGTGTTCGATCGTTTCCGTTCTTTGGGCGAAAATTAGGTTTTTGTCTAGGAATTAAATAGGCGAAGGTGGAGCCACACGTCACCATTTTTGGCCAGAGTTTGGGCGTCTTGGCCCTAATTCACCGGACAGATGCCAAAGTTAGGCTTCGCTGCGGGTAGTGTGGCTGTTGTCTGGCAGCTTTGGGCCTAAATCGCCAAACAAGTGCTGGAGTTAGGCATTACTTCTAGTTGTTCGGTTTTCGTGTTGCAACTTTGGGCCTCAATTACCGAACAAATGCCATATTGCGGCTTCACTGCCAGTATTTGGCTCATAGTTATGCATCGAAAAGTTGCTGAGATCTGCTAATATAGTCAGGGGTGGAAGCGCTGCGCCAATTGCGCCACCCTGCGCCAATTCACTTCCCTGCGCCAGCCTGCTCCTAAACGCCAATTTCAACTTTTTTTTTTTTTGTTTTTTTTTAGTGTTTTCTTTAAATTTTGCGGAAAACGGTTGGCCACGGGCCACCATGAGGTGTGTACTTTTGCTTAGGTGTCACTGCGGGTGACTCGTACCAACTCGACTGGGGCTCCGAACCATGTCTAACCTCAGGGCGAGGCGTCGATTTTAGTTCATCGAGAGTGCGATGTCGTTTTTTACTACAAAGAGTTTATATACGAACACATCGGTTTGGTTTCGGGCATAGTTGGTTGGCGCGGTTGGAGCGCGCATGCAGTTGCCCGTAGTCCCGATTTGCCGTGATCGTGGGAGTTGGTGCCTCGGCACCGGTGGGCTACCTTGGCCATTAACATGAGCAGAAGTAAGTGGTCTTTACTAGCTTCACCTGTTATTTGGTAGCCTACCATATTTGGACGCTTAGCCGTGAAGAATCGCGAGCACAGGCACATGCGTTCTCGAGCTCAATTTGTCTTGTCAAAACGAAACCAAAACCATCATTGTGTGCGCGAATGTGCACGCTGTCGTGTGTTGTCTACCGCCGTCAAACCACTGGCGAAAACAATACCCGCGATCTTAAGCGAGTTGGTTAATTGGCAGTGCTACACACTTTTTTGTTTCTTTCCTTTAGCGTGGAGGAGTGGGGGTTACATCAGAAATGCCGTACAACACTCCCGCGCTGCCGATTCCTGTCAAGAACGCACCTTAACTTGCTATAGCCACTCTACTCGTATAAGTTTCTGGTTGGGGGGGGGGGGGGGGGGGTTGGGGGTTGGGGGTTGGGTAGGGTAGGGTAGAGAGAAGTTGGTGGGCTTTTTGTCACGTAAGAAAGGAGCCTGCCCCGCAGGGATCAGCGCCTGATCAGCTACATCTCATTTTCAGTCTCGTTCAAACTGTCTTCTCTTAAAGCACTTCTACTGAGTGCACAAGAACTCATAAGCAAGTGTGAGGCAGTTAAGGACATGGACAAGGTGGGGAGTGGACACCTCCTGCTAAGAGATGTGAACTCTAAACTGCCCAAAGTACTCGAGCGCATAAAAGAAATTGACTCTGCTCTTCAAACTGTGAAAAAAAAGGTGAACTTCAGTTGTATCTAAATTACACAGATTCAGCTTAGTCACAACCCTTTTTTTTTTTAACATGGAGCCTGTGGGCTCTTCTAGTCAGTGTTTATGCTGCAAATGTATTAGTGGCTGTGATATTTTTAAGACAATATATTTTTCCATCCAAAGTAATTAGATATAGCTTTGTATGTTAACTTGGGTGTAGGGATTACTGTATTTTATGAACAGGGATTAAGAACATTTGTATTTAAGGGGGGACATGGGCCTAAACTTTAAATTTTTTTGAAAAAATTCATTTTTTAATTTTGAGGTTTTCAGTTTTAGAAACTAATTATACACCCTTACACCAAATTTGATAACCATATGCCAAATAGTTACGTTGATATAAAATATTTTCAACACATTGTGAGGCAGTAACAAAGTAAAGGAGTTCAATGTTTGAATGCATTTTTCTCAGTTCCACTTTTTGCTGCAAATTTCCTACGAAGGAATCTTTTGTTCGAAGGTGAAAGTATTCTGATACCACAATCAAGATGTTTCTGAACTGAAATTTACTCAGGAATCGGGCTATCTACTTTATTTTGTTTTAGGTTGAAGTCTTCAGTGATAAAAAACCAAGTTTTCAAAAATTGACAGAGGACAGGTATGTATCTCATAGTTTGAGGTAATAACTCTTCCTGAAATATTTACATTTAAGTTATTAAAACTAGATAGCCCGAGGTCCCATATCCCCCACTTTATATTCAAGCAGTCAAAATGATGCTTAATAGCTTGATTTGCATATCATAGATTTCTTAATAAAAAATGACACATTACCTTATGCAGGTATGTAAATTTGTCCTAGAGAGCTGAAAGTTTGCACAATACACCTACATCTGAAGCTAAATCTCCCCTGCAAATTTCATTCCAATCACATGAGTAGTTAAAAAGTTTGAGCTCTAGGCAGTGTCCCCCCTTAATGAAAACAGGTCAGCAAGGACTGCTTTATTCTGAAACATGTTGTGGTACCTTAGTTTTTTTTTATGGAGACACGCAATGCACAGCATTTTATGGAGTACATAAGGTTGCGTTGCTCTTCTAGTCGATGCTTAAAGCTGCATATGTACGAGTGACTGTGGTAGTCTAAAGATATAAAATACACATTTTATTTTGCATCTGAATTTTTGTCAAATGTCAGTAGCCTTGTATTTTGTTACTAAACTTGATATAGGGCTTTTTAAGTAGTGATTGAACATGTGTATTCTTTAATAAACAAAAACTGTAGTCAGCGAAGGTAGTTTATCTGACACCTTGCAGTGGTTTAGTTTTCTGGATACATGTTTACAATTGGTCTATTAAGTAGACGGTTTTGTACTGGCGTGGCTCAAGCTAGGCTTTTATTGTCGGGGCCTCCCATATAAAGTCTATCATGACTCTGCCTGCTGCCGGAATGGTTCTCAAAGCCTTTCCTTTGCATAAATTGCCAATATTCCATATTTCAATGCAATAGAAATAGAAAGGTGTGTATGTATGTTGCTTGAAAATTATTCTGGGATGTGCATGCATATGTTTTTGCTTCATTTTCACATTTAGAAACAACAAATCACTTTTAGACATTTGTTTGACCTCCGTGACCTGCTCCAAAACCTACTTCTACGGCTACAAAACTTATTTTTGCTGCTCCCGAGCTGCTCTAAAGCGAGCGTTTTACTGCTCCAAAACTGCTCCATAGTGGGACTTTTGCTGCTCCCAGCCCTGATACAAAAGGCTCTAGCCCGCTTCCACCCCTGATAGTGCTTAAAGTGAGAAAACAGATAAGGGTAGGAACGTTCAAGAAACTTTTGGAGTGCAGGGAACCTTTGAGGATACTCTGAGGAACCTCTTGGTTGCTAGAAACCCGGTTCGAGAACCCGTTGCTCTACGTGACTTATTCTACGAGTCTTTAACGCAGAATGTGTTCCATGGCGGGCACCTAACCGTATCCGCTTAGGTGCCAGTAATGGAAATCGATGGGCCGGCTGCCAGTCAAATGCCGACGCAGCGCTCGCCTCCGCAATGATTGGACACCAGTGACAGCCGAACCTCTACTTCGAGTGCATCCGTGTCGCTCTCGGCGGGGGTAATACATCGCGTGTTCAGGCATACATTGGTATTCTGCTCCATGAAAGGAGCGTGCTCCGGACTTCCATACAGAGGGAGCGGAATTAAAATGCGAGAGAAAAACAGAAAAAAAAAAGAGAAAGCTGACTTCTTTGTTGCAACGGCTTGAGGAAGATCTGACTGTATGGCTCTCTTTTGCCGCGATCTGGCGCTAGGTCTCTGCTCGGCGCTGCCGCATCCCAATTGCTCCGTTTTCCGCACGCTCCGTCTGCTGCGTCTCGCACTCTAACAGGCTCCGAGAAAGTCGCGTGTATGCCACGACCTCAGAAGATAGTACTCACAAGTAAAACATCCAAGGAGCGCTCGTGCGCTTACATTGCACGACACAGGGCCACCTCGTGGCATCCAGTCTCCACATGTGTACGCAGTTTCTCCACACTAACACGTCAAATTCCGCATTACCACTGCCCCCGCCACTCCACTACGGCAAAGGGATGACTTTTTTTAGCCCGCTACACTCAGTTTCACTTTCCAACCGCAGCTAATGCCAAGATCCAACGGAGTGTCACGGCGCTCGTCGTCTTTGTGGAATTGCTATCGCCGGCTAAACCAGTCTTAGGTAGTAACGCGTTACTGTAACTTCATTACTTTTTTGGTAACTTGTAACTGTAACGAGTTAATTTTTAAAAATGTAACTTGTAACTGTAGCTCTATTACTTTTTTCTGAAGTAACGATGAAAGTAACGACGTTACTTTTGTCGTTACTTTCCAGTGTTTTATGAAAAATATATCAATGAACGAGTGCAATTCAGCCATTCCTTGCACTTTCCAAATCGTCTATTCCGATATTTCGAGTGTCAAGTTGGCCTTGCACAAAGTTGTGAATACATTCTTTCTCGCGAGTCACGACCCAAATATAGCCACATGTAGATTTTATGAAAAAATATCTAGTTATCTTTACGCACGCAATTGTACTTCGTGACTGAACTATTACATCTTAGTGTCTTGAAGCACTATCTATGTTGTGGTTTTTCTTTTTTCTGTGTAAACGCTTTTTAATCGGGTGAATCAACCGTGAAACAACAATACATGTGGTGGGCACTGCGCATGTCTCGTATTTTGATTAGCGCCACTACTCTGGTGTGGAAACTTTTAAACACTAACTTTGAGAAGCAACTGCTGTTAAGTTACAATACGAAGTAAAAGGCATACTTTTTAGTTTTATGCAATAAAACGTTTTGAGGGGCGTTTTCTAGTTTTTTCTAGTTTTTTTTTGTGTTATAAAAAAGTAACGTCGTTACTTTCTAAAAGTAACTGTAACCGTAACAAGTTACTCTTTTGTCCCGGTAACTGTAAAGGTAACTTCGCTACCTTTTCTTAAAGTAACTTTAACTGCAACAAATTACTTTTTAAAAGTAACTTACCCAAAACTGGGCTAAACCTATCGCGCATAGATTCACTGCACTTATTCACTGCACTCGGTTGGTTGAGTGGGCGATAGCGGAGGCACGAAGGCGCTTGATTGGCTTCATCAAGTTTTAGCAATGGCTGTGGTCAGACTTAAAGTGAAACGGAGTATCGTAAGAAGTTAAGGCTAGTTCACTGACGTACAACTGGGGAAGACGGTGTGCCTTAAAACCTCTTAAAATCTTTTACGAAAGAACACACTGGAGCCCTCTATCGAGTAGCTGTGGGACACTAGGCTATTCCGTATATTTCCTCATTTTACAGGGAAACTGCAATCCGCTAGGATCTGGGAAAAAATGCATACGCGGATGTTGACATTGTTGACAGAAAACTCCCCATTGGTCGTGGCAAGTATGAATAAATAAAAATAAAAAAAGGGGGAAACCAGTGTGAGTCAGCCTTTCTTGGCACTATTAGATAGTGAGGTCCTGATCCCTTATTATCATCCCTGGGCATCGTCCGAGAGGTCGTCCTAGGCGTCGTCCTTTATGCGTCAACATTGAGGTCGTATTAGACATCGTCCTCAAGGTTGTCCTTGAGGTCGTCCTGTAGGCGTCGTCTTTGAGGTCGTCCTGGAAGTCGTCCTTGAGGTCATCCTAGACGTCGTACTCGAGATTGTCCTACAAGTTGTCCGAGAGGTCGTCCTAGGCGTTGTCCTATAAGTCGTCCTTGAGGTCGTCCTGGACGTCTTCTTCAATTGTCGTCCGAGAAGTCGTCCTTAAGGTCATCCTAGACATCGTCCTCGAGGTCGTCCCAGAAGTCGTCCCTGAGGTCGTCTAAGACGTCGTCCTCCAGGCACCGTCCTAGACGTCGTAAAAATAACAGCTTCGCTGGTCCTCTATCTTCACGTGAAGTGGAAGGGCTCTACAATTTTTTTTCAGGCATTCTTTTTTTTTTTTTTTTACTCCAACATTTTTTGACAATGTTTTAAACTACCATTTCTCATAGATAGTATGTACATTTGATCTCGCAAATACCGCAAAACCTCCGCTCTAGTCAAATGCAGTTCCAGGGTCACCTCATAGATGACACCCGCGTGCCAGTGTGCTCTCTAGTGTTCTCTCGTCGTGAGAAACCGCAAAAACTCAGTCCCGAGCAAACACAAGTGTGCAAACGGGCCTTTACTAACTGTAGAAACAAAGTTCGATTGGTGGCGAGTTTCGTCACCTTTGTGTTTCAAGGCGTATTCGATCGGGGCGCCAACGTCTGCATGCACGCAGGTGCGAGTTGGTGGTGTACGTGATGGAGCGTTCGCCGTCGGGGGCGGTGCGCCGGGTGCCGTCCAACGAGCTGGCCTCGTTCATGGACGGCTTCTCGGTGAAGCCCCAGCTGACGACCCTGGGCGTGCAGGCGGTGGTGTCGAAAGCTGCACCCTCCAAGGACTGGCTCAAGCAGTACCTGGACAACCCGCCCTGTGGTGAGGACCCGGGCAGGGCCCCACGAGTGGTTGACGGAAAACTTTGTCGGAGCCGTGACGTAGTATAAAGGAGCTGTCTGTTGACGTAGTATACTGGCATCTCGCCCAAATTGCCGCATATTTAATGAAAGTGGGGTACCAGCTTTAGATGCCCTGCCTCCAGTGTGCGCCTATTGCGTCTTGCCGTGATTTGGATGCACGTGCTTGCTCGAGGCTCGCGAGACTCAGACACGTGACTCTAGGTAGGGAGCTTACTCTAGAAGTGGGACAGCTAGAACAGCTCCATGCCATTCTCATGCTATCAGTGGCTACAGTTCCTTAGCTTTGGTTCACTTTCTGCTTTTCTGATGAGTCTTCATTATTATTATTACTTGCTCGTACCAATCCATCAAACGGTTTTTATACCGTAACAGTGCATGTGCCAGGTATTAAGGTTTTCTTTACTTCGTTAGGTAGTCTGGCATTGTGTGTCATAATGACCTCCAAGTTAAAATATTATTACGAAATGGAGCCACTTTTCTTTGTCAATCTGAACCCACGTTAACGAAACAATCTTAAGATGGAAGATGTGCATACAACGAAAAATTATGATAGGTTTTGCATAGGCTGCAGTGTGCGCAACTTTCAAGCTTTTTTCGCTAGGTTGTTGTGGCCTAAGAATCTTGTCGTGAATCTGGTCTCTTAGTTTTCCATGTGCCACCATTTACCTATCGACGGTAGGACTAATCTTACAATCGACAGTAAAGTCGTTTGAATCTATTTTAACATTTATTGTCACGTTACATTGTATAATTATTTGAGTTGTTTCATTAGGCTCTAAATATTTTCTTCTGTTTAAATGTGTCGTATATTGATTCTTTTGCTTTTTGTTTTTATGCAGCATGTCTGTGCAAATGTGTGTACTCTATGACTGCCTTCTGGTATATAAGTGTCTAATTTCTGTTGAAAAGGGAACTCTTCAAGCTGATTTTTCAGCTCTTTTTTCCTCAACCTCCCCTTCGCGTTGATCTGAAATGAAGATGCTAACACCTACACTACTACTACTAGTATTATTATTAATAATAATAATAATAATTCAGTGAAAGGCAGGTGCCGGCATGTTGGGTGGTGTGAGGACTAGGGTTTCTGATTGGTTGTTGCTTTGTTTTTCGAGGCATGGACCCATTGCTGTGGCAGCAGGCCAAGCTGGACAACCCCGATCCTGATCGGCTCATCCCGGTCCCGATGATCGGGTTTGCTGAACTCCGACGGCGCTTCAAGCTCCAGGAGCACGAGATCAAGCAGCATCAAAGCCGCCTAGATGTGAGACCGGCCTCCCCACCTCCATTACCAAATCATCTGCCTGGATGCGCGCTCTCTGGGGCCATCTGCTGACGCTTGAGTGGACTAGAACCATAAGATTTTAGAACTTCGTTATTTAGATATTTTTTATCTCTAAAACGTTGATAGACTGGAACCATCTTCCCTCGTCAAACGCTAACATCCCTGATGTTTTGTTTAAAAATGGTGTTAATAATATGTGCACTTTGTATTTAACATTTCATAGCTCTTTCCCCTCTTCAGTGCACTTGCCTGGAGGCTATTTGAATAAGTAAATAAATAAACGACAACATTCTTGTGGATGCCGCCATTTTGGTGCTTGGTGGAGAGCAGATGCTATTGCCGATCATTGCTTGACTGTGCTTGAGCGTGACTGTGCCGCTTAATGCTGGAGAGTGCAGATTTAAGAGAGGGAGCAACTCAAACTACGGAGAGTGTATCCAATTGCCGCCTGGGTAAACTGGTCGCTCGAGCGCATGTGTTGCATCGTCACGAGGAGAGGAGAAGAGCGGGAGAAAAGGCAGACATTTGCAGACGACCAAGGCTTCCGTCCCCTCCTCTCCGCTCATATTGCAAACGCGGCCTATACAGTAGGCTCGCGATAATTAAAACCCTGATATTTCGTACTTCTGGTTAATTCAAACAAATTTCAAAATTTTGGTTGTCCCCCTATGTTTTTAATATACTGCAAACGACTTAATTTTCTCCAGGACCTAATTTTCGCGAATTTCGCAAATCAGCTACAATTTGCAAAAAATAGGTCTTGCAAAGATTTCCGGCAAAATGTAACCACATTGGAATCTAAGACCTTTTTTGCAAGGGCGCCACCATCTTGAATTGTCGTCACTTCCAGTATGGGCGAAAACATTGTTTTGCCGTCGCCACGCGAATAGAAGGCATTTAGGACATAAGCGTAACCGTCACACATTCTCGTTTTGCCTCCTCTCTATTTTTTTTACTATTTGCAGGCTGAAACGTTTGATATTTTTTTGTCGCCCATACCGGATATGCCTACCTGGCAGTCGGGGGCAAGAGTAAGCGGAAAATTGAGATCCCACCGCGTCGCGAAACTGAAAACCCGCAAATTATTCCAAAACTTCAGCTTTGACCTCATTCGCGAAATATTGAGCCCGCGAAAAATAAGTCGTTTACAGTATTCATAAGGCGCTTAATTCGAGCGGCGTTTTCGGCAATTCATACTTTTTGTTCTCGCAGCCCTGTTTAGTGCGCTTCTTTCTGAGCACCAGTGCACTGCAGAGAGGCAAAACCCACGGAGCATGCTTTCGCGGGTGTTGCTTCTCTGCAGTGCACCTGTGCTTGCTGAGAAGCGCACTCATTGGGGCTCGAGCGAGGGCACATGAGCCATAGACACGGGCACCACACGAAACTTTCCATAGCAACTTGCACGGACGCTGTGACGTGGTGGCGTGGCATAGGTCCAAGTCGCTGCGTCTGTGCAACTTGCTATGAAAACTGTTTCTGGGTGCCCATTTTCATCGCTCGTGTGTTCCCTGCTTAATAGTCCATATTAGACAACTGGAGTTAAAAGTGATGAGTCTATTGTATTAACCCCATGACCCCGATCCAGCAGTTGGAAAGACTGAAATCTAGGCACTTTGCTTAACACTGGCGCCATCTGTCGGGCAACCCTGGAGCAGTTCGACCTGTGTATATATGGTTTTAACATTCTTTAGGCATTATTCTTAAGTCAGGGGCTTGAAATGATTCCAACAATGGTATGAGTGGCTATTTTTCGTAGATGTGGGTAGATTCGATATCGCAAATACTGCAAAGCCTTCAGTCTAGTTATACATGGATTGTAACTGTTCTGGGTCTACCCAATAGATAGTGCCAGTGGGCCAGTGTTTTAAGTGGTTACGAGAGAATGCGACCCGCTCGTGCACGGCCGGACGCAGATGCGTGAACCAACCCTTTAGGTACCATGTTGGGATGCTCTGGCGATGTCGCTTTACTCTGTCACGGACTGTTTTGACATTTCAGCTGGATGGAGAACCGTTTCCTGCGACTTCGGATACATTAAAATGGCAATTTGGGCTTATGTCACAATCATCCAAGAAAGCGCAAACAAAAAACACGAGGACAAGAAAGTGTATGATGCAGGATGACCTGTGCCCCGTATGGTATAGAGCTAATATAATAATCTAGAGGGAGAGGTTTCATGCATTCAAGCCTCTCAGGAACGGGGAGACATAGACGTGGACTTCGGCGGTCTTAGTTGGCGGTCCCAAATGGCTCATATCGTTGGCGACGCCTTAATACGCACAAAGAAGCAGCAAAATATCACTTGTAAGGTCTGTACCTTGTTCTTTTCTAGCTTACTTGGCAAGAAACTATTGAAATCATGCATTGTATAAAACTAAATAGGGTTAACAAGCGCTTGAGCAACTTCAACTCGTCCGGCTAAATGAACACACCTAACCTTTCGTCCGCTTCGTTTCTTCGCTCTTCTCTCGCTCTCGTTTTCATCCTTTCTCTCGGGACCGCTGATGTGAGCGCCCGGATTTATTATGTTCTGCTCCCTTCTTTACTGCCCTGCCGTGTGGTCCACTTTCTTCTCCTTGCTATTGTTTGGCACATGTTTAGGTAGATTTCAGATGGAGCCTTGGATAACTGGCAAAAATAATTTTAATCACTAAGATTGTGGAAGTGTCATGTCTCTAAGGGGTAGCCTATTCAGTGGCTCTAGAGTGGGCTAATAAGGCGCATCTGTCTATCCTTCAGATCATTGCAGAGGACATCGCGGAGCTGCAGCGCCAACACGCCACCACAGTGGCCAAGATCGAAGAGCACAAGCGCAAGCAGTCGGATCTCAACCACAGGGTGCTCAAGGTGCGTCCGACGGCTCTCTGCCGTGCGCAGACGCTCCGCCGAGAATCGAACATGCAGACAAGTGTACGGTGCACTCACTATAATTCGAACTCTGATATAGTAGACCCTTTCAAAGTCCAGGAAGCCACAAATTTTGTTTGAATTATCAGAAATTCATCTAAATATGACACAAGATAAAATTATGATTTGCCAAGTGAATGGCTATGCATACAATAGATGGCGGCAGCCTAAGACAGTTTTTTTGGAAAGGTGTATTGGTTCGCCGTTTCTCGATTGATTTATCGATTAATCGGTTGTGGCCAATCGTGCAGGTGATGGTGCATCAAGAGGTGAACAGAAAGCTCGGATTTGGGATCCAGCCAGAAGAGGAGAAGCTGCGCACAATTCTGGAAAGCAATCTGGCAGAACTGAGTGCCCCTACACAGTTTAAGGTACGCCTAGTAGTACCATACTTAGCTAGAGGTACATGAGCCTTTATGAGGGCACAAGCTTCGTGGCTCATGAGTAGCAATCATATTCAGTATTTTAGAATTAGAAACATATTTTCAATTAACCATTCAGTAGTGGTACTATGCATGTGGTCGCCGTTCAGCCTGCTTCAGGCGGCAGGCGGCAGGCTCTTGGAGAGCGGAGGCTGTTTATCTTCGCTACGATGGAGCCATTATAACTTATCTAAGATGTTTATAAAGTACAGAATGCAGATGCTCAGCCCTATCAAAAGCTGCAAGTTTCAGGCACGATTATAAAGTTTAGTGGTACCCTCAAGTGTGTCCATTTAGAATCAAGTGAAGTGCCTGTGCCATTCACCTTCCTTTACCCGCAAAAGTGATTTGCCTTGTTTAGTTAAAATGAGCGCTTCTATTTAATAGAAAGCATCCAAGTGCGGGTGGCAAGTGTCTCCCGTTGGGCATGCCCTTTTGCAACAACCAAATTATATTTTCTGAATCTTGGTAGCTGGTGGTTTTTCAAGTGGTTGAGAATTAACTCGTCAAGTCAGTGTGGCTCCCGATGATGATGTAGCCACCGCACCTTTTTCAGGGTCGCTTGAATGAGCTCATGTCCCAGATCAAGATGCAGAACAACCATATGACGTGCGCAAGTGCCCCCCTAAGCTGCACTCTCGACCCGGCATTCGTGAACCAACTCAAAGAGGTGAGCTTGCGAAGTGTCGACTGTCCTCGCCGAGAATGAAGGGCTGGGGCAGACAAGAAACTAATTTTGCAGTAATGCTTCATTTACACTGACAGTTGCAACTGCCTCACCTTTGTGAGGCAGTTTCAAATGTGGCTGTTTAAAGATTAAAGAAGCGGATCCGCTTTGCGGTTGCAATTTGAATGCCATTGTCACCAGGAGAGACCATGCCCTCTCCTGGTGACCAGGAGTTGGCATAGGCTGGCTCCCATAACTGTCGTGTAAAACTGTCATTCGAGGAGCTGCCAGTAAAAGTTACATCAGCGCTTCTCAGTGTCGAGCTGTCTATGTCAAATAGGTTCGAACCGCAGGATCTCTTGGCTCTTTGACTCTAGCACCCCGTGACATAGAGGTTTTTTTGTGACAATAGCCATTATTGGCAAGGTATCGACATGTGACACTGAGATGTCACAAAAAACTCTCCGTTATATTTAGCAAAAAAACTACTGTACTAAATATAATGGAAAAATTGTGACATGATATGACAAGATATCTTCTGAGACTGTGACATCACATCATTTGATGTCATGTGACATTCAGGCATAACAGGATGTTATGGTGTCACTTGAGACTGTAATGTCACATCATTCTATGTAACATAACGTCACATTGTCACTTGACAACACCGTGTCGCTTGACGTCACATGATGTTGTTGAGCCGACGTTACAGTGTCGCATGATGTCACTGTCGCATGATGTCACATGAGTTTATGGTGTCACATGATCACAGTATCACATGATGTTGTGGTGTCACATGATATTACGATGTCACATGATGTATTGGTGCCGTATGATGTTAGTGTCACATGATGTATTGGTGCTGTATGATGTTAGTGTCACATGATGTCTCAGTGTAGCATGTCACATGATGTCGCAGTGTCACATGACTTCACAGTATCAGATGAGCACCGTCCACTAAATGCAGCAGGACGTAAGTCCTCTAAATTTAAACACGACAGTGTAACTGTGTGCAGCAGTGTGCAGTACGTCAGCTGTCGCGACGACGCAAGCAACATAGATTTTTTTTGTTTCTCCCACTTTCCACCAGCACCTCAAGAACCAGCAGTGCGGGATTTCACAGCTGGTTAAGATCCTGAAAACGGACATGGAGGACTTGAAGGCGGTCGAGAGCAGCCTCCAGCAGGGGGCAGCGGCGCAGCGGAGATAGTGACGGTGCCCCTAGGTTGCACGTGGCGGCGGGGCCCGTTCTGTCCTTTGGAAGAAAGGGGTGGCCGGGATGTCCGTTCCGCAAAACTCTGCTTTTATTTGTATAAAGACGACTCCCAATGGCGAAGTTGTATATGGGCTCGTGTTTTTAACGGGAGATCTGTTTTGGGTTTATGAAGGGGGCGATTCTAGGCGGAGATTTCACGCCGCGGATGGAGTTTACTGTCACCAAACATACGCGCTGAAACAGTCCTTCGTGCTGCGAGCTTTTGAGATCTACCAGTTTTAGAGAGAGCTGTGGTCTCAACTACAACAAGAATGTGAAGTTGAGGTATCATACTTTGGACTATTTGACAATTTGAGAGATAGAACGTGCGCGTACCGCAGACGCAGAAAAAGGACCCGATCGGGTGTTTTGGCTTGTATTGTCTGCGGGGGTACATTTGAGACCACGTAAAGTCATTCTGTCACGTGGCCCGATGCCGTGCTACTCAATCACGTGACCTGGCGGCTTGCGACGTGGTCGCATTATCTGACGGCACATGGCCACGTGACTTTTCTGGATAGACTCTCTGTTCACGGGAGTTTGGCTGGTGCATAAGCCCTTATTAAGTTCTATTGTTGCTAGTCGCTGGCAGGATTAGGGTGGAAGGGATGTACTTCAGTTGTCTTGCCTCCAATGTAAGCTTCCTACCTTCGCCAAAGCATGGTGGAAGGCAATGAGTGCGGCTGGCCCGGCATCCGAAAGCGACGCCCTACCATATTCATCTTGTCGGCGACTGGTGCAGCCATCGGGTATTGCCTGACCAAACAATGTGTAAATATATTTGCATGTCATGTTTGAGCAATTAGAGTTGCGCAACGATGATGTAAAATGAGTTTTTATGGGGGTAATAAAATTAGAAAATAAAAAGGAGGAGAAGGAAATGATTACTGTAATGCAAACTTTGTCCGCTTTCATTTGCACATTTGGTAGTTGGCAGGAAGACAGACTGATGGTTAGTTTTTCTGGTGGAGGAGGTCCATGGTGTGTCACCGGGAGTCGGAGGACAGTCTCGCTGCCCAAGTTTATTTAGCCTAGAACTTAGTCTGCCTCAACAGGTGACTTGTAGATGAGAAATCTAGCCAGTGCAGTACAACCGCTAGCCTGGGGTCTTTAACGTGCACCGCGCAGTAGTGATACGCAACCGCACGTCGGTACCGATGCTCATCCAGATCGAAATGGGCAGGGGTATGGATCGAATCCAGGATCCCTGGGTTCTGTAGCGCGAGCTTTTGCTCCACGTGCTCCGAGCTGGTGTGCGTTGGACCACTTGGCCACCGATCTCCCAAAGGAGATTTGACTTTAGCCAATGTGCTGTATGTTTACAATGGGTTTTTTGTTTTCAGTGGAATTGGTGTAGGAGCCGTGTGAGGAGATGTTTACTTTGGTGGAACGATTGTGCAAGACGTGGCATTTGTTGGTAAAAAAAAACACAAAAACGTTAAGATTGGAATGGTGCAGTCGAGCTGGTGTAGATTTCCCATTTTCTTGAACTACTTGAGACTGGGTGGAGAACTAGAAGAGCCGAAAGTGGAAGAGACAGGAACAGAAGGTGTCGTCTCAAACTCAGCTGGAAGTTTATTTAGTAACACTTCCATATTTACCGAAACCTCAAACATCGCCAACCAATCGCCGCATTAAAAAAAAAAACCAAAAACGTCCGTGTATTTTTTTTTTTTCTTTTTCCTAAATGTTTTTTTTTTTTTTTTTTTTTTTTTAGCACGGGGGCACCTGTGACCACGCCTGCGGTGGAAGAAGCGATTGTATGTACGCGAGAGAGCAGACCAGAACATAACCTGAGCGCGGGCAGTGGGGAGGCGAGGGAGCGTGTCCGCACAGCGCTACCACGTGGGTATTTCGCAACGGCAGCTGCCGGAGCAAGAACAAGAGGAACAAGGGGCCTACAGAGGGGAAGAGAGGAGCGAGGGAGAGCCTTGCCAAGCCTTGCCGTGTGTGAGGAACGACTGGGAGAGGGAGAGCAGTGCCTCTTCTGTAGAGGGGTTTTGCATTCCTGAGCATGGGGCCTCCAAGATCCCGAAGCGCGAGGCCATGTCCTGAGGAGCATGTGTTTTGGATTTTCGGCTAGGTGACGAAAGCTACCACCTTTTATAAAGCAGTTGACATCAATTTGTCCACCCTTCGTCTCGGAAGCTACAGGTTACGAGAAGCAGGACAGGCTCCTTCCGCAAAGCTTTCCACTCTATACACATTACTAGAACGAACGCTGGAGAGGAGGCAAGTGTACTCGCCTCTCCAGCGTTCGCTCTGCTAAAGTGGAAAGATTGGGGGGGGGGGGGGCTTTGTGGAAGGAGCTTGCCAAGTGCTTTACTAAGGGACAGGACACTCTCCTCGTTTGCATTAGACAGAACGAAGGCTGCGCCGAATCCTCCCCTGGTGGAGTAATTTATTTGGCGACTCCGCTCCTCACACGTGGCCAGGCGACGCCTCGGACTGCAGTGCGGTTCACAGGGTCGCGCATGCGAAGACGGTACTGCTGCCGCCGTCACGCGTGTTTCTGCGGTTCTCCGTTGCCTTCTTTTCCAATGTATTCTCGGGGAGTATCCTCCCTATGTTCCCCCTAGTAAAGTGTTGGAGCTTGTAGCGCATTTCAACCGAAAACTTCCAAACCAGGAATCTGGAAAACCGGATCCTGGGATCCGGTTTTCCAGGTTCGTGTCAGTGAGCTTGAACGCGTATAATCTGTTGCTGCTCGGTTTGTCCTGGATCGAGGTATGATCGCTTCCTCGGCACAAATGAAAAAAAGCAGGCTGGATGCCTTGAAGTGAACGGCGCAACAACCTCCAGCTTTAAGGGGCACTGACACATCAAAATCATCCAACACGGGTCACGCATACTCTAATATCGGTCTCACATGTGCTCGATATGCTGCCTCTTTAAGCTCTTTGCTCACATGTTTTAAGTTCCGCTGTAGACCTGCCTTCCCTAGCAACCACATTGTTTATTTGCGCTGTCCATGGTTTGATTGTTGAGGGAGTACCGGTGAACTAACTTCTGACATTTTCGTGAGATCTTACGTGAACACAATATCACTATAAAAAAAATGAAAGCCTTTTACAACTCCCTGTAACGCCGGATTAGAGCGCAGCTCGAGGAGGGGAAGGTATACCCCTCCTCCTTCCTACTCACCTCGTCATCGTGCCTGCTACTCCACGGAAGCCATGTGACCCCAGGGGGGTCTCGTGACGTCACGACCTCAGGGGGTCACGTGACCTCAAGGCGGTCACATGACCTCCCTGGGGGGGATCACGTGGCCTCAGGGGGGTCACGTGATCCCCCCCCCCCCCCGGCGACGCCGCTCAAGCCGGAAACGGGTGCCTAAGATCTGCGCTCTAAAAGGGTGTGGTGGGTACACCTACAGGGGGTGTGAGTGCTGCCACATATACTACACCCATAAAGGTGTACAGGTACACCCCAAGACGAAGTGCATACAGATACCCTTTTTAAGGGTGCATATGTGCACCGTTTTACACTTTCAGTATTTGGGGGTGCACGGATACACCCATATTGGGGTGTGTCATTACTCCTTTCTTACACCCTCACTGTCGTTTTGGTGTGCAGGTACACCCTAATTGAATGTGTACAAATATTCCCTTCTCTACACCCACGCAATTGTTTAGGAGTAAAGATACACCCCCTAACAAGGTTTACTATTACATCGTTATTTACACCCACCCCGCTCATAGGGAACAAAGATAACCTGCCAACAGGGTTTACTATTACACCGTTTTTTACACCCACGCCGCTTATAGGGAACATAGATACACCTCATTTAATTTTGTACCATTACACCTCTTTGTGTATCCACCTCAAGGAAACCCGTAAAAAATGTACGCTCCCAGGTGTTGCAAAAAGGCAGGTAAACAGACACGATGCATTGTTTTCAAATCTAGGAGTGTATTAGAAAGCCTATTCCGTAAATAAGTACAAACTTGCAAGCAATCCGTGATATGTGAAGATGTACAACGAAGCTGTTACACAACTCAGAAGAATACTGAGCAAACAAGAACCGGGGTGATTCTTAGGTGGTGTCTATTCTCCCAGGAGCCGGCAGAATTATTTACCCGAAATTCTGCCGGCAGTCGCCACTCATTGGCGATACAATCACTTCATCGAACGACGTTTCATCGACACGCGATGTTTCATAGACAGCTCAGATTAGCTTTCCTATATCAGCTTCTCTTTTTTTTTTTTTTTTCTGTAATGAGCCGTTCCAGACTATATGCGCGAAGTGACATGTACGGGTGGCACAGGTGGGGTAAAAGTTTTACAATCAGCCGGCGCAGACTGTCCCCACGAAGCGACATGAACGGGTGGGCTGGGTCGGTGAGCACGCGCCTCAGAGATACAGGCGCGACGAAATGTCCCTACAGCGTGCATTTCGCGTAACGAGTGACGATGAAAGGTTAGTATCAACGAAACGTGTCTACAAACCGTCTATCAACGAAAAGGTGTCCATGAAACGTGTTTTCACAAAACGCCGGGAGAATAAGAAAGTCAATATTCTACCTGCAGTTATCACATGATTGTAGACAGCTAATGGCAGGCGACTGCCGATAGAAGTTCGGGGAAATGATTCTCCCGGCTGCTAGGAAATAGACACTGCCTCCTTTTAGAGGTAATCCCGAACGGAACGGTCAATTGCTGCAAAGGAGTAGGTAGCAGCGCACTTACGATGAAAACACCGGACTTGAAATATGTAATCCGAGATATATGTCGACACGGGCACTGCAGAACCAACCACACAAATACAAAAATGAAAAGAAAGGCGTCTGCGAAGATTCAACACGATGTGGCAGAAGCAGTAATTTGCCAAACCGAACACTAAACGCATTACATGAATTCCTTTGGGCTTTTTGAAGAAATTGCTCGTTGCCGATGTACGCGTAGAACTTTTTAAACAGTTATTTCACCTGGGATGGTAGCCCTGGTACACTCGAGTACGTTGTCGCGGACGAAATCTCCTGCAGCCCCGCTGGTCGCAGCACAGCACACAAGAAACTAGGCTGGGGCCGGAGCATACATTTGGGGATAGGAGAGAGCTGCTACGTCATCCGTGAAACCTTTACCACATGATCACGCTATCTGCCGTTACCTGCGCCCAGACAGCAGAGTCAAGGGATAAAAAAGCCTCCGGTTCATTGGTCCGGCCACTGCGAACCCTCTTCCATGCTTTCCGCAGGAAAACAGCAGCTCCCTCGAGGCCAAAAGAGGCTGCCCTCGCAAAGGCTTCAGGGTTATCCCAACAATGAACATAACGAGAGGATTTGTCCCTTATATCCTCTTGAAAGTTCGACCCAAAGTTAATAGTGCAGTGGATGCTATCCGTGGCCTTGGCTTTCAGGCAGGTGCCGTGCTCTGCCTTATCTCTAGCTTGGAGACTGTAGTCACGTGATCCTACCCGGAGACCCGATTGGCCTAAAACAAGTATAGCGTCTACTCTACTGTCGATACCGAGTGAACAGAACAGCTCCATACTTCCTAAGAAACTGCCCAACCCAAAAGTGACCCCAAGGGGAAATCCAAGCACAGGCTGATCGCGGCGCGTGGCTAGCGTGGCGGTGTACTAAGCTGGGTGCACTGATACACCTAGATGTTTTTAAGGGGGCGGAGGATGCTCATTGTCGGTGTACAAGTACACTGGCTGCGCAACGGAGGGTGCATCCTTCAGGAAAAGGGTGTATGTGCGCCTGATACACCAGACTACACCCTTTTTTTCTTAGAGTGAACGTTCAAATTCGTTTCATCTGACACTTTAGTATATAAGGCACTATCGTAGTTTGTTCGCGCTGATTGTCATAATTTGTTTATTAACGTTTGACCATTGTATATTGATGTTTGCAAGT